CCGTACGTTGGTACTAATTGAATGGTTATCATCTCATGCTCGGGAGTCACTAATTTTGCTATATGCTACTAGTAATATCATTTTATGAATTAGTTTTACTCTTTCAAGCCGAATCAATTTTAAATTCATTTCCCCTAAGAGTTAAGTGCGTATTGTTTCTGATTAAATCCAAATGATGTACAAGTAGTGTTGTATTTGAACAATGATTCGCTATAAAAGAATCGGTATATGGTAAATCTATGAGTAATGTACAAAAATTGGTGTCAGTGCGACATCTCCAATCTGAAGGTAATCTTTCTGAGATCTAAGGAGAATTTTTCTGAAGCTGGCGTTCAAGCTCGTCCCTGATAATAGCCACATCCACTGCATTTCGGTGAAATGGGTCCCAGAGCTGCTGCATTTGTTCCCAGGCCTCGATGACATCCTCGGGGTGGGTGCAAGTGCCGAACGCACGCAGAACATGAAGGATGGTTGAACGACCGACGAAAACCCCGTTTTCGACATTACCCTCGAGCCGCGAGGCGTGTTCAAGTTCGGGATCTTGAAGGTCGTTGTCCAGATACTTGGAATTGAGGAGGAATTCGGACCGCTGGTATTCTTCCATGCTGAGTTCCTGCTTGATGAGACCCCCTTGGCCTTTATTCTCCGATTGATCGTAGAGCTCTGCGTGTGCATGGCTCTCAATGAAGCTCATTTCACTTTCGAACTTCTCACTCGTGTTTTGCTCCGGGTTCGGATTGGTGGATGGCAAAGACATATAGAGCTCGTCGGTCGCGTCGGCCTTGTTCTGTATAGTAGGTGGTCTCCCTTTTGTTTGAGCCACGTTCGCCTTCTCATCTGCGCTCTTGGCCTTGGCCTCGGCCTCGACGGAATCCATCTCATCGGCAAATGGGTTGACCCATGTATTGAACGGTTGGCCAGGTCTCCCGAAGTTAAAAATCCTGGGGAGAAATCTGTCCTGTGATTTCCTGGAGTCGATCAACGCCCATACGTATGACTGCCAGAGTAACCAAAGCCGATTTGCAGTCCATGTCTGCTTCTTGGTCTTGCCATGGATACTGAACCCTTCAAATAGGGTACTGTAGATCATGTGGCGGGGTGGGGATTTGAAGCTATTCTCCATGTCACGAATGATATAGAGAACTTTGTCAAAACGGCCAGTAGTGATAGCGTAATGTCGAAGGAGGATATGGAATGTGCGAGTATCGGGCGTCAGAGGAAGTGATTCTTGGAAAGCACGGTAGTGGTGGGGAAGGGGATCCTTGAGGGCATCGGATAGCTTCAGCAAGCGGCCCAGCCGCTTGGTGGTCGATCGATAAATTTCAAACCGTGTTGAGAGCGAGTGACCCGTGATATCTGCTGGCAAACCAGTATCTTTCCTGGTGTTTTGTGCCAGCAGCATGCGCTCATAAATTCCCTCTGCAGTCTCAGTATCACCGGCTTTGAGGAATGCAGATAACAAGCCATTCAGAATAACCGTGTCGACAAGGTTTCCAGACTGAACGAAACGATCGAAAGTGCGACTGATCCCTTCTAAGTCTTGACGTTCCGCGTGGTAGTTGAGTTTGGGAATGAGGGAATAGCGCGTGGAGGGAATTCTTCGCTTAACCATCTCCTTCTCGAGGCGTTCGGCAATGCTGAACGCACCCGCTTTGATGGCTGAATCGTATAGGACGTTGAAAACCACTTCGTCGGCTTCAATGTTGGCATAATGCTCCATTTGTTGCCACAGTCCAATGGCTCGAACTATATTTCTCTTCTTGGTCCTTCCCTTGCCTGAACGTCGACCAGCGAAAGAAATAGCCGTAGTCCACAGGGAGCGCGACATGGGAATGTTGCAAGCGATCATGTCGTCCACCAATGCCAAATAGCGACGAACATCAACAGGTCGGCGATTCGGAGGGTTGGCCATCTGCCGAAGGAGGGCTCCACGGGTGCGCGCGGGTAATTTCTCGACTCCCGGTGAAGGTATATTTCGATAGAGTGAAAAGAGGTATTGGGAAGTGTTTTTCGGGTTGGAATGAACGGCTTCAATGAGTTCCGCAACGGAGGGACTGTCGACATCGTAATCGTATTTGCCTTCTGCAAGCCTTGGGGGGTGCGGATGCGGTAATACGAGTTTCACAGCCTCTTGCCAGTCGTATTCCTCTCCGAGGATCTTCCTGTATACACTGGCGGTCGAAAGGTATCTTCTCTCGTCGTAGGAAAGGGGCTCTTCGGGGGTATTTGGTTCGTGATGGACGTCTGATAGTCGGTTGTCGGGGTGTGAGGGGTGATTAGGTGTTTTCGGATCGAAGTATTGATGCCAAATTGTTAGTAGTGATTTGCTTTTGTTGGGGGATGCCGAGCTTGTTGACGCGCCCTCAGCATCCTTCCTCCCGGTGTCTTTCGGTGTTCTTATAGAAATATGATTTGAATCATGCTCCTCCCCAGCTCTTGCACCAACGGTGCTGAGCTGGGATCGATCTTGTGACAATTGCAATCGCGGCCATGGCCCTGAGTACGCCCACGGCTTTGGAGTTGAATGATTGTCACCATCCGTGACACTTTCACGGCGGTAGGTTCGCAATTGACTCCCTGGTATCCTCGGCGGTATCGCAGACAGATTGCGACACCGGGGCGAGTGATCATGGCAGTAGCCAGCCAGGATGAGCGAACCTACAAACAGGTCCGTTACCGAGACGATAGACGGACGGGTGTGACGAGAGGAGAATCGGCGTATTGAGACACGGGATTGAGAAGGCTTTGGGTGTGGCATCGAAGGAGAGAGACGAGCTCGCCCGCGACCTGGTTGGAGGAACTTCGCGGGCTCGACGAGCTGGGGAACCTATTGAGAGGAGGCATGAGAGGGCAGACATCGTGGGCCTAGGTTAGCCATGCATGTCCAAGTAGCGCCCAGGTACAGGTCGAGCCGAGGAGCGGTTCGCGACCCACGAGAGTGAAAGGAGGGGAGGAAAGAGAGAGACGAGTTGACTTGGAGAGATCGATGTGAAGGTGTTGGAGGTGTTTTTCGAGCGGACTTTGCAGCGGAGCCGCGCTGACCAATCGGGGCCGCCCATTTGCCCTCCCATCTTTTTCACTCCGCGTCCAGCACCACCTTCACCTTTCGACGTCTCGCGATTCGAGCCCCAGCCCTGTCGATTCACCGCCCGGTTCGAGCTTGTTGATTCAATCGCCTACTCTATCGATATATCGTCCATCTAGGGCCACTACGCCGGCCCTTCTTCCCTCCCCATCCGTCTCCCCGCCGCCATGGGCAAAATCAACCTCACAGCCCTCCGGGTACGACAGACTGCGCTCAACCAATTCGCTGCCGGAAAGATCAAGAAGTTACCTCAATGGGTTGAAGTTGTTGGTGATATTCCTCCAGCCGAGGCGCTCATCCGAAACCGCACTCCTCAGCACCAGCTGGTCCGCCAACGCCTGCAGACCAACCCCGACTCCTCCAAGCCGCAGGTCGTCTTCGAGGTTCAAGAAAAGCGCCGCAAGCCTAAGAAGCCCAGTCGTCTATTCAAGCCCGTCGAACTTCGATACGAGGAAGATCAATTGCGAACAGAGTTCTTCCGTGATCATCCTTGGGAACTTGCCCGGCCTCGCGTGGTTCTGGAAAGCTCCGGCAAAGACTTTGAGTTTCATGATTGGAGCCGGATCCAGCAGCCTGGGAAGAAACTGGATGGAGAGAGGTATGTTTACTCCAAGCTTAGTTATCCCTTTGTGGTCGAGGTCATTATTAACGCATCGTTTCTTCCTTCTTAACAGTGTTGTCCAACGGCAGCTTTGGCTTTTGAACAATGTCCCTGATATGACTAAGAGTAACGCATACGATATCGCTCGTCGCGAGTTCTACAAACTTCGACTGAAGGAGGACATTCAACGGCGGGTCGCTGCCGAGGAGGCCCAGGCAACTGGTGCCACCTTTGGCCCCTCCTATCTGGAAATCGGTATGGAATTGGAGAACGAGCAACACGAAAAGTGGAAGACGTGGGCTCGTCTCGAGGCTCAAGTGATGGACCAACGTGTCGTCGCGATGTCTGGTGCTCCTGAACTCGCCATGGAGAGCGAGACGGAACGCCCGGCGGACATTGCACAGGAGACTGAGGAGTCGGCTTAGAGAATGGAGTTCTCATTTCCTCGCTTCTGCTCTAGGCGCAATTTTTGATGGTCATCATGTATATTATTTCATTTTTCTGTTGAATGTATTCCCATAGCCATATTTTCGTGAGAGCCAATGGATCATTGATCTAGTCTATTCGCAAGAGTAGTCAGTAAAACATAGGTACCTAGTAACAGGCTAGTATTTAGGCTGCTATGAGGCTAGTTGATAATACTATCTACTTGTGAAATAAATGTTGATACTAATATTCTCCCCCTTGATGCCCCGATGTGAAACACGAAACACGCGGAGAACGACCGTTGCTGGAGCTCGGTCCAATCACAGCCCTTCCAGCCTCTCCAACTTCAGTCCAACGTCCCTTTCACCTTGGACATCCTCCTTCAGGCGCCAACACTTTCCACAACCTCGAGACTAGGGGACACATACACCTTGTATCTTCCGATCATCCGTCTCTCCTCGGTCGCATTTCTTGGCTTGGTCTCGTGAATCATCGCCACCGGCGCAATCTGACGAGTCCGAACTTTTGCTGTGCCGTTCCACACGCCCCCAGTTTCACCTAAACGATTTTATCCCAACTCGAACTCCTCTGATATTTTTGACGAACTCCGATAGCTCGCGGCTCCGTACTTTCGAATCCCTCTTTGACCGCACCTGCACCGTGGAATCCCGACCCGACAGTTGAGCCTCAAGTGTTAGTATTGCGCCGTTGAGGGTTAGAGCCAGCCGAGGATGTTCGACTTGGCTGTGTTTGCTGTCTGTACTTGATCAAGACCGATCACCAGTGAATTGGTCACTCTTTGGGCCCTTCAAATACCCAGAAACAACTCGACTCGGCATTTCCTTTTATCTGCGATAGCCTAGGCGGAAGCTGGTTATGCTTTCGACAATGACTCGACCGGAAGACACAGTTCGAGGGCTGCGCCCTAATCGAGGTGAAGTCGATGACGAAGAAGGTGGAAGGAAATCCATCGACTCCCTTGTACCCCCGCCTTTGTCGTACAATGATGGCGCCCAGCGCTCCGAGGGCGAAGAATCCCGGCCAGGCACAGCGATGGGCGACAACTCGAGTGGCAGCGGCAGGCAAGGCTCCGGGCCCAAGATGCTCACCCATGATGAGACAATTGAGCTGGCTCGACGCGCGGTGGAAAGTGGAATCCAAGATACCAAACGCTCTTTGGCGGGCAGTGAAGCCGTCACAGACGTTGTCAAGCCGAAGTTGACCATTGACCTGGGACACTCGCATATCGTCCGAATACCTGAGCCCGTTGTCGATATTGTCAAAGAAGAGGTCGAACGGTATGTGTTCGCCATTCTCGCTGGCTAGACAGCAGCACCGCATTCAAAGTCAAAACTAACCATTTTGCCAACAGGCTTTCGCTTTCTAACAACCATCTCTTCCATATCCCCTACCGATTCGCCGAATGCTCCCACCTTCGCTACCTCAATATTCGAGCCAATAATTTCCGCGAATTTCCAAAAGGCGTATGTCTTGAGAACCACCTTAGAACATCATTGCTATGCTAATTTATTATAGGTTTATAAATTGCCTTTATTGGAAATTCTCGATTTAAGCCGCAACAAAATCAACACTCTACCGGATGAAATCAGCAAGTTGAAGTCGCTGCGAGTACTATCGATCATGCAAAACCGACTCGACGATCTCCCCGTCGGTCTGTCCGATATGAACAAGCTACAAATTCTTAAAATAGCTGGGAACCCGTTGCGCTATCCGCTGCGACGGGTGCTCGAAAAGGCAGAGACCGACATCGCTTCTTCTGGGATGACGGACAACGAAAAAGAAGTTGCAGTTACATCGGACCTAAAATTATTCCTCAAGAGTCGCCAGGCAGCGACAACCCCGGAGCCCGACTTCGGCGCTGATTCAAGGTATGTCATCTTTTTTCCTGGTGAACGAATGGTACTAAATGCCGTCCTCGCAGTGAGGGGTCTTTCGAAACACCCAAACCTATTCCCCCCAAGCGCAAATTGAGTAGCCGATTTCCCGTCATTCCCAGTACTGGCGATGGATCATCGGCACCTTCTTCTCGATCTCCATCAATATCCCGACCTCCGCCGATTCCTATAAAGTCTCACTACCGGATGGCGTCAGGCCAGCCCTACATTGACCAAGCTGGTAATTATCACATTGCTGGTCTTTCCCGCCCCGGCGTCAATCCCCACGCAGCGGCCGAGCGGAATCGCAGCAACAGCGAGGGAATAATTCAGGCATCTTTTGCGGCTCGCAGCAAACGGATGGGAGTCATCACCCGCAAGAACACGGATCTCGGCACATTAGACGAAACAAAACCTTATCGAAATAGCCATCTGCGAGGTCTCAGTCATGGTTCCGTACTTCGAGCACGACCTACAGCACAAACCCCGGTCAGCGGTAGTAGCTCTTCGAGCCCAAGCAGTCCGAAAGAGCGCCGACGTGTACGAGACGGCTGGGTTAATCGCATGTCAAGCCTTCCGGAGCACAAAGGCGAAAGAGGATCAGTTGAACCAATCGTTGAGAGTGCTAAGGGCATACTTTTTGCATTTGTTCAGATTCATTCTCATGTTTCTACCCTTATTAATGTCATCCGGCAAGATGATACACGGCGTCATAGCCTGGAGCTTGTATTTTACAATGCTTCGACCCACGTTGACCGCCTCAACGAGGCCCTCGAACGTGCGGAAACTACCCTACGCGATGACCCTGATTCTAGTCGACTTGCGACTGAAGCTGTCAGACGGGAATGCTACACGTGTATTATGGCTTATACACATGTTGGCACACAACTGCGCAACAGTTCCGCGAAGATCGTATCGAATGGCGACTCACGTTATGTACGATCGCTGATGTTGATGATGTACGGTAGCTTGGTGGAGCTGCGAAATGCGTGTTCCAGCCTCAGTGTTCCACTTCGTCCGGCCCAGAAGCAACTCCCTACACCTAAGCCAGTCGTTTATGAACCTACGAAGGGACCAGCACCTGCCGAGCGATTCTCTCGACCGATAGTTACCCCCACCAGAGACTCTTCTGCGCCGATTCGCCGGCTGCGAAGTGACACAACGATTCGCCATCCCCAGCTCCCTCTGGGCCCCCCTATTCCCTTGAATGCATCAGGCCATACAGGCATCGGCTCCCCCGGCTTTGCAACTCCACCTTTTGCTACAGCCTACTCGCGCAGTCGATCGAGTAGTCGGTCAAATATGATTAACACATCTGTACCAACCTCTCTGGCAACACCTCGTTCTGGTGAAGCATTCCCACCCATCCCCACATTAGGCACATTCAGAATAAATCCCTTGACTGGATTGGACGAGTTTGAGGAAGAGCGGATTTTCGAAAAAATCTTCCATCAGCTTACCTCAGCCTATTCAAGCGCCCTCCAAGCGCTACCATTGGCAAGTCGTCAATTCTCTCGCTGTCTCGAAGTGGCAAAGCAGTCGCGCGAGTCAGAAGGCATTCAAATACTCTGGAACAATCTCATTCGCCGCTGCAGGTTCTGCCTTGAGATCTCCGAAGCATTGGGGGGGCGTATCTCTAGTATGAAAGTCAAGGAACCGGGCGGTGGACTTCGAAACCAACGAGAATTCTGGCAGCTGTGCAAGACCTTTATGCAATCGTTTGTAGACTTGGTTACGGACCTGCGGGAAGTGCGCAGCATGCAGCTTCTCCCTGGAGACATTATCATCATCCTCCGACCAGTCCAGAAAGCCAGTCGTGAAGCCGGTCGCCTCATCGAGGCATCACCCTGGTCTTATCTGGCTGACATGGCCCCAACGAATGGCCCGGGCAACCTGTACGGCCCCCCACTGCAAGTCTCTCAGTCGCAACATCAGACTTCCGTCTCAACTTCTGCTCTCGCCCCACACCCTAACATCTACCAAATCAACGCCGGCATGTCCCCTCAATCAATTACTGTCCCCGCTACACCACTCAGCGCGGCACTAGGCCCAGCGGCCCAGGCAACTGTACCATCAACGCCAGCGAGTGCGTACAGTGACAAGTTCTTTGAGGGTGACGTCTTCCAGCGCGCCGACTCTCTTCTCTCGATGCCCACGCAGACGCCATTCTTCACGCGTCGTTGAATAGAAATACACACGAACCTTCCGAAACGCCCATCCTTGTTTAGCGTGCTTGACCATACCGCCTATTTTCTGTCTCCGCCATATGACATATCTTTCATGATCATGAATTGAAATATTGACACCTATGATACCATAGACTAGTTTATGTGCTTCCTTTTTCGGACCGAGGGGCTCATAGATAGTTTTACCTAAAATTAGAGGACCTCGGGAAATATTGTATTTTTTTTTGGGAATAGACATTTAACCCTTGCAGAGTGTATATACCTTGTGCCGCCCTTACTAATAGGATGGTTCCACCAAGCCCATTGACCTCGGGAGCAACTTGAAAGCTCTTGTCCGGGCGGGCTGGTTTACCTACTAGTCTCGATTTGCGAGCTCTTAAATCTTCAGTACTAGTAACGGTTTGGTATTGCATTCAAGTCTATTTAAGACATGGTATGTATGCTGGAACTTGAGATGTTGGCACTCCTTGACGAGTAGGATGATTTCACCAATATGTGATTTTGGTTATGGAACTCAGCACAAGCAATTGTAACCTTGGAAACACAGTTAATTTCAAGTTAAATCCGGCACTCTTCAACGGAGGACAAATTTCAAGTTATAGCCAGCTTAATGCTATTCGTATATTGAACCGAAATGGATAGCTTGAAGGACATCACTTGAGATCCTCCAGTTCACAATGAAGTAGAACCTCGCAGGTTTTTAAAATAAGGACAGACAGCAAGAAAAAACCGAGACAAGTCGATGCAGGAACAGTCGCAGGGAAGGACGACCCTACTTATAGTCCATCTTCTCAGCAGCGCTCGAATCAATTACAAACATATTGATCAATGGCCAGAGACATCTCGTTAAGTGTTTTGGAGAGCTAAGCCAAAAATGGGGAGATTGATCTGAAAGGGGGAATCACAGGTTTGTTGTTTACATTGTCTATCATGACTCATGTTGAGTCTTCATGAGCTGTAGATGACAATTTCTTACAGCCTAGTGGTAATAATGAACACGAATTACCTCCAATAGATACACGAGGTATAGCATCCTGCTCACAATAGTTCATCGAGTAGACCTTATGCAATGTCGTGTTGGCTGGTGCTAGTTAGCGCTCTTGTGATCCTGTGCCAGCCAAGAAAAGCAGAAGGCCTCCCGTATTCTAGTGATGCCGCTTTCTAGGACAGTGTAAGCATAGAAGCATAGTATAAGTACTACAAGTATGGACGAGAAAGTGTATGTTATTAAATCCAAAGACTTACAAAAACGCCTGATTATGGAAGACGTGGATAGCGGTAATTAGAGAGTAAGTCAACATATTTCAAAGTTTGAAATTTTCAATTCCGACATCACAGCGAATGACGAAGACACAATTCTGAACTCCGGAAAAATTATTCTGCTTTTCCTATTTCTATTATCTTGATGTATCATTTCAGTCGACATCGTCCGATGCTTAAACTCGCTTGACCCATGGATGCACAAGTACATGGAATATTTCATCTGCTAACTGTATTCTTTGGTCTCGATTTGATCAGAATAGATCTGTCTGGATAGAGATTGTTTCCTCCTGTACAACGCAATCGAATGCTCAGACACGAAAGAATATCACGATACTATGATCAGCTCTCCTCACCCCCCGACGCCTACTTATCCCTCGATAAACACCTAACTAATCCACCCGCCGTCCAACAACCACATCTCTCACAAAAGAAAACATCTCCCTCGGCTTACTCGCAAAGACACTATGACCCGCTCCGTCGAAAAGATGATACGAGACCCCACGCTCAGCAGTCCAGACCCCCGTACCCGCACTACAAGAGCTACCGTTAACAGGAGCCGCATTGCCCGCAAAGAACGGACGTTGAGGCCGTTCCACAAACCCCTGCCCACCTCGCCAAGTCATATTCTGAATCGAAAGTTCCGTCCCGATATGATTGAGCAGCATGTCCCACTTCCCATTGTAGATGTGCAGCGATAAATTATGCTTCGTCACGAGGGATGGGAGGATATCGTACGCGGGCGGGGTGGGCGGAATCGCACCGAGAAGCGTTCCTAGGATAGTCGAATTGCATGCGCTGTATGGACCATTTTCTTCGACGTGTAGGGCTTTCTGGACGTCCTTTTGACTGAAATATTCTCCCAGCAGTGGGGGTGGACTGATGGTGCTGCAGTCGTGGGAAATGTCGTAGACGTCGTAGCAGGGTGGTCCGGTGCCGGCGGCAGAGGTTGTCGTTAGATAGTCCATCGCGGTGGAAAATGTTGCGCAGGGTCCGTAGCAGGTGGAGTTTAGGATCGAGTCATGGATTCCCGAGGCGTTGTTCGGGCTGATGTTGCATGAGCCGTCTCCGGCCGTGATGAGGTCGCGCCGGTGGCGGCTAAGGTCACGACGGTAGTTCATGTTCTCTGGATTTCCGGGGACGTGGAACTTGGAGCGTGGTGGATATTCTTGGGCCTTTTTGAGGGTGTCTGTGAAACCGCAGATATTGTCTGCTGCGGTGAAGGCTGAGAGGATGGATTTTGGGATTTTGAGTTGGTGGGCTTGGGTGTGTAGATAAGTGCCCATTGCGACGTCGGCCATTGCTGCTGCGTTCCCCCAAGATCCATCGCCGAGGGATATTGATTGGATGTTCAACGAGAGAGGGTTGTTGTTCTCTAGTAGAGCAGATGCGATGTACGGGATGTAGATCCCAGCATAAGATTCACCCATGAGGTGGATCTTCTTGGACTTGAGATGTGGGAACAGGTCTAGGAAGGACTGGAGCCATTGGACAAAATGTGCTGTCACATCGGCGTTGTTTTTAGCAGGGTATGGGGCGCTGGCAGTTGAAAAGCCAGTGCCGACAGGTTGATCCACGTATAAAACATGACCCAACTTTGTCCATGAGTATGGGTTGAGAGTAAGATCGGTTGAATTTCCGAAAAATGAGAGAGGGCCATTCCCTGTAGTCATTCCGATCAACGATGAGCAACCTGGGCCGCCATTGAACCAAACTGTATACTCGGATGTTAGTAAGAAGTGGCGTAGGTTGTATGAAACTGATACTGACTGATCAGATCATCATCGTAAGCCACATCCTCCGTCTTAAATAACCAGAAGAAAAGATCATTTCCTGTCTGGGTGCCCGGCACTGGCAATCTTCCAGCCCAGCTGGTTGGCAATGAAGGGCTTCCTGGCAGCGAGTGAACTTCAAACTGTGAGATATCGGAGCCACGAGTGGCCTTTGAGAAGAACAGGACGGACAACGCCCAGAGAAAATAAAAGAAGTAGAACATTTCTATGAAGTTCATAGCGAGCGTGGGTGTCGTATCAGAATGTAGATGAAGTCGGTATGTTAAGACGATGCTTGTCTCCAAGCGATCGAATTTTGGGTTGAAGATGAAGATGAAGATAAAAAGAGTGAAAAGAATGCATGATCTCTCTGACAGGAAGATTCCATTACGATCCTTTTGTATCTTTGTTACAATTGAGGTTCATAAGACAGTGACGGGTGAGGATGCTTATTGAGGGCCTATTCGGGCAAACCCCCGATGGCCGCATCGGGGACTCAATAGAGCGTGGTAAGCCAGTGGTAAGCCAACGGGAAGCGGGTTTCGGAGAAATAGATAATGAACTAGGCAGTAGCAGAGATGTCTGACCTCTTTAATCTTATATATTTCTAATTGACTGACTCGCTGGTAGTATTCAAGTTTTGTAATTGCCCTGTTGTATGAGGTTCTAAGATATTAATGCCTTGATGCCTTAGTGCCTTAATACCTTAATCCTCAGGCGTCAACGCTAACTCTTTCTCCACTCCTCCCGGCTCCACATCGTACCTTTCTCCCTACTCGTACACTCACACTAAACTACTACAAACCAAAACATCATGCATCTTCACGCATTCGACCTGTCCAACCCACCTTGAGACGGGACTACATCGTCAATTCGACTGCAGTCGTCACCGCTGGACCAGTGGTTCCCCGATAAATTCGGGGCGAATCCTCACGTGGCCAGTGCGTTGACAAAGCCAACCCCCCCCCAAAGGAATAGTGAGGCGGTCGATGGATCAATACACTTTCCAATCCCCTTTCAACCCTGTTCAATGCCGACTGCCACCGCTTAGGGGTATCAGGGGTCGATCTCCGAGTATTCCTCCTGAACAAGTCGAGGGTCCTGGAAGCGGGTAGCAGCATTGGAATGTGAGGTCGATCCCCTCTGCTTGCGTCTTCCCGAATCCGTCAGTCCTGAAAACGTTGCAGACCTATATCAGGTCAACCGGGTCGCTTTTCCAATCGCTCGTTTTTTTGGCTCTTCTGTCTCTTTGGCTCTGTCTGTGATTTGCTCTGCAACAAAGCCCTTCCTTTCGAAGGCTATCCCCTGGATTATTAACAACCTTCGACCAGCCGATCTCTTGGGGGCATTTCTATACGGGCGACCCGAACCTGCGACCTGCGACCTGCGCTCGATGTGGATCTCCCGATCTTTATGGCTGAGATCTGATACTCGCACTACGTCAAGTTTGACTCGATTGTCTCGAACGCCTTCCCGCCCACCGCAACAAATACAAATCATCCCAGTATTTGCCTTCTGATCGCACCACGAGGCCGATCGCCTGCAGATCCCAGCATCGTCGGTGTGGCTCCACAACAATTGACAGCTCACTTGCATCACTTCGTCGTCAACGCGGATTGGCCGCCTGCCTGAGGCAAACAGGGGGGGCGAATTCGAAATCAGATTGTAAGTGAACGGTCTCCTGTGTGCTGCGTTCCCTTCTTTCTCCTCTCTAGCCCTTGCGATTGCTCCGGGTAGGGGGTCAGAAAGTGGTGTAGGGTTGTCTAACCCGTCATACCTTGACACCCGCCATCCCCCCCCCCTTTCGCGTGGCTCAAAAGAGTTATTATCTAACACGAGTTGGCAGAATTCATAAAAAAAAGGGAACAAGGAAAAAAAAGGACTTGATTAAGTTAGATCTCGGGGAATTACCCTCGCGATGGATCTTCAGGGAACGAAAGAGGCACGGACGCAGGAGGAGGGTGCGGACGGTCCTTTGGATGCCTACGGGGCTGGTAGTGGGCGTTCCAAAGAGTATCACAAGAGCGAGGGGCGCGATTCTCACCACGAAAGTCCCGCTAATGTCCACCCGCTTCGTCGTCGCCAGCCTCCTTTTGCTTATCCACCTGGCGCTCGTTCATCTGCACCCGCTGTCAACTCATCGAGACCTCGCGATCCTTCACCTTCACCCGAGGCCATCAGCATTCCACAGACCCTGGGACTCAGCTCTCGTGATCAACGCCTACTATGTAAGGCCCGCCGACATCCGCCCGTTACAAAGAAGACGCTCAGTGAGCTCGATCTGCCTTGTATAATGAGCAACATCAACCTTCGCATGGACGCCAACTTTGACCGCGATTTGCATTTCAAGCCCGACCTCGACGGTGAGAAGGGAAGACGCAAACGGAAGGATTCCGCCGACTACTGGGATTCGATGGCATCGGAGATCATGATATATAACTTCCAGGCTGCGCAGCCCGAATCTACCGAGGCTGGCGACTCCTCCAATAGCTCTAGGGAAAGTGGGAAGCGCACGTTCGAGCCTCGCCTCCCTGCCATGTTCGAGACCTTGCAGGAAGTCATCAAGACCCTTGTCCCGGAGCGGGATCACCCAAGCGTTATGCAAAATCTAGAGGTATCCCTGCTTATGCAGCAGGTGCGCAAAGGCGTTCTCGATATGGTTGCGCTAGCGGGGTGGCTGGCGGCTCTTTTGAAAACACACTGCGCTCCGATGCGAGATGAGTGGGCGGATCGAATGGTCGAGCAGATAACCGATGGCTCACAGTCACAAGACCCGAAAGAAATCGTCAACGGCTTACAAACACTGTTCTCTATTCTGGAGGCAATGAAGCTGGTAAGTCGATGATGCTGTGGATAAATTCGGATTCCTACTGACGTGAACCAGGATGTGGCCAACCACCAAATACGAACTTTCCGCGTCCTTTTGATCGAAGATACTGTACCATTCTTGACCGAGTATTTTGAAGGAAAGATCAGCCAGGGAGGCATTCGGATCGAATCCGCCCGACAATGGTACCTCTCAGCCCGGGATCGTGCCTTACAAGAAGACGAGCAGAAAAGCCCAACATCCTCGCAACCCGACGACATGAAGCCACTCGATGCCCTCTTCCGTGGAATATCCGACCAACTCCTCCAGTTCACTCCTCCAGCCGACTTCCCCGAGACATTCCTCTTCGACTCGGACCGACTCTGGCAGCTACGCAGCACCATTCAGAACCTCATCAACCTTGAGATCGCCTGGTATATCTTCGAGTCCTATGTTCATACCCAAAAGCGCTATCTCTCCGCTCGTGATGAGACATATACAACATTCCGCACTCGCATTTGGTCCCTAATGGAAGATCGGATGGATTTAAGCAGCCGCGCCGGCAGCAGCAGCGCAGCAGATGACGATGACCCAGATCTCCGAGGCGGCGCCCGCTGGCTCCATAATATGCGCAGCATCGCGCTGGAAATCGCCCGCTTTGCTTGTGCCGCGTGCTGTCTGGATAATGTTGTCGCTGACGAAGTCATCACACCCATCGAGTCCGCCCTCGAATGGCACTTGTCCAACGAGTCTGATCTCTTCCGCTATTTTCAAAACACCATGCGCGAGAAGATCTTGACTGCTACTCTTACTTCGGCACGCAAATACCTTCCTCTTTCCCCACTGGCTATCTGCGAATCCCAGCGCACAGGATCACAGCCTCCCTCAACGGGTCCAGCGGTGCCTGCGCCTACTGCCTCTGCCTCCACGGCCACTACCCCGGCCTCCTCAACCCAGTCTCTCACACCCCAGCAATATGACATTGATCGTATTGGCATGCGCCTTGCTCATATGGGAGTCCTACATTGGCGCGTATGGGCTCCCATCCTATACCTCAAGGATGAGATTGCGGACCTCGACCCACCGGCCTTTATCTAAGCCTTGCATTTGCTTTATTTTGTTTGTTTTGCTTTGCTTTTGCATGTGGGCATATTATCTCTAGCTTGGATTGTCCTTTTGTTTCCCTTTCTCTTCAGCGTCCTCTGCATTTGACTTTGGCTCTACTGGCGTTTATTCGGGCACTACACGGCGTTTCGGGGGTAGGATTCACCCAGGCCCATATAGAACTTTTTCGTTCGGAGGGTTTACTTGTTCAAGCCAGTTATAGACCAGCGTTTGCTTTGTTCGAGATGGTTCCCGGAAAAGTGTATACATATTCGGCTCTCTCAAGATGGAACAACCATTTTTCAAACTTAATCAACATTCATAATTATTTAATGGTATTCTCTAATCATTCCCAACAAGTAAAAAGATATACATTTACTGTGAAGGTATTCCATCACTAGTCTCGTATTACCAAATCACTAGCTCTGCCGCACGCAGCCTGGGGCCGAGCGCCGATCCGCGCGATCGGCATCGACCGCCTCACATTCGGCCTCACCTGCTAAGTTCACTTCATCCCTTCCAACCAACCAACCCCCTCCAGGCATTCGCATTGGCATTCGCTCCCCGATCCGCATTCACTCTCACACTCAATTTACACCGCGATTCCAAGAATACACACCATGCTCCGATCGGAATCCTCAACGCCCCCACACCAAACCTAACCCTCTCCCCGCAAATCAGCACCTGAGAATTCCAACCGCCGAGACAGGCAAAACAATAACACACCCTCCCCCGCGGCCCCCGCAACCATGCGGCCCTCCTTCACCCTCTTCCAAGTCGCCAGTACCGTCACCTCCGCGTCAAGCCCATGGCAAGCAAGCTGGCTCTTAGGCCAACGCCTGGCAACTTTACAAAAACTCGCCCGCGCAACGGGGATACCGAGTACCGGGACGCGCAAGGTATTAGCCGAGCGCATTGGGGAGGCACTGGATCTACAAAGCGCTGGTCGCGAGACGAATGCCGAGTTTGAGAAGGGTGCTGGCGCCTTGAGTGTGTTGAGTATTGATATGGGGATTCAGAATCTGGCATTTGCGCATCTTAGAGTTGATCAGCCTTTTCATGGGATTGGGAAGGGCATTTCCGGTGATCTTTCGAGGCCGAAGATCACGGCCTGGAGGCGGTTGCCTTTGTCGGATATTGCTACCTTAAGAGAGAATCGTGTTGGTGGGATTGACCCGGCTTCTAAGGATGGGTCTGTGGTTGATTTGGGGTTGAAACAGGCTTCGCCAGTGACGATATCAGAGTCCGGGCTAGCAACCGAATCAAATCCCAGTCCCAATTCCAAGTCCAAGTCCGAAGATTCAAACTCGGATTTAGACGCAGACGACGAAGCTACCAAGAAGAAAACCCCCTCCTTCGATCTACCACATTACGCCGAAACAGCCCACACCCTCCTCCACACCCTCGTCGCAATGTACAAACCAACTCACATCCTCATCGAGCGCCAACGTTTCCGCTCCGGAAGTTCGAGCCATGTACAAGAATGGACGTTACGAGTCGGACTCTTCGAGGCAATGCTTTACGCCGCATTGGAAGCCATGAAGAAAGAGCGCGGCGGCAGTTTGTCCGGCGTTGGCGTCTACGGAATTGATCCGAAACGCGTGGTGCAGTACTGGGGAGAGAAAGAGCCTGGCTTCACCAATGTTGAAGATGGGGGTGATAAGAAGCGGAAACCGACGAGTCGGGAGGTTAAGAAGGCTAAGATCGATACTGTGGCGAGATGGTTGGAGGCGGCACTTTCTGAAACTGAGAGTTCTTCTACATCTTCTACATCTACTTCTGCGCACCGCAAAATCGATTTACTGAGCGAGTCTTCGCCTCCTAGGACTCTGGCCGAGGCGTATCTGGCGAGACTCCGTACTGGAGCTAAGCGTGGGCCGAAGGTCGTGCCCGTGTTGAAGGACCTGACCAAGCTAGACGATCTGGCGGATTGTTTGCTGCAGGGCGTTACTTGGGTTGAATGGATCCGCATGCGTGAGTTGGTGTTGCGGAAGGGCGTGGCGGCTATAGAAGAGAGTTGAGATGGTGACGCCTTGGTACATATTTTGTAAACTGGTCGTGTATGATAATGAATATTGTGTATAATAGGTAGAATTATTTCAGATAGATGATTGGTAATATTTACCGTGAAAAATGGATAGGGCTGAGCCCGTGTCGTCCATTGGCATTGGCATTGGCATTGCAGATACGAGGTTTCGTCTTGGACCGAAGGATCGGCGGTGATCGACAGGTCCGCGGATCAACATAGACTTGAGCTCCACCGTATCTACGGAGTATATCTGATCAGCTGTAGAAATAGGATGCATGCAAGGTGTTAAGTACTTAGTACTACTAGTACTTCATGATGGGCCACTTGTTGTAAGTCAATGACTATTCCCTTTCTACCATTGGTAGATGGTCCCACAACAATTAGGGTACAGGAGTACTACCATGGTACCTCATGGGGCTACCAGGCACCTCGGAGGCACTAAAGTTTATTCTCTACAAAGAAAAAGGCCGATGTAAACACGAAAGACGTGGCTAAGCATAGTAAACAAAATCATTTTGTACAAGAAGTTGGATGGTGCAGCAACGTTAATTCCCTTGCAGCCCAATCCAACCGAAGAAAAGGAAAATAACACCAGAAAAGGAAAACGAAATTGTCCTCATCCATTCACCTGTCAACATACGAGAGTGCTTTTCCGAGTCCCATTGGGAAATGACAAAAAAAACATAAGTGGGATGGAAAAAAAAGGTCATTCTCATTGGGAGAAATGAAAAGAAGGGCAAAAGAGGCGTCTAGAACTCAACGAGATCATCGACGAGAATCTAGCGAAGAAAGAAAAATCAAGTTAAACAGCCAATTTTCAATAGAAAGTAAAGGCTTGGTAGATCTGAAGTGAAATGTGAAGAAATGTGAAGAAAAAAGAAGTAAACCGGGCTAGGCTAGTTCGCTTGTACCAAAGGCCCAAGGGCCATGTCTTGTCGCAAAAATAGGTACAACACCAGCACGCAGCTGTACTTGAAGAAAATACCCGAAAAAGAAAACGCTCTCATATCATTGACCGGTGGTCGTGTCCGGCTGTTGCTGGATGAGGGACTCTATCAGACATATGTCCGTCTATGGCTTAGAAGAGGCGGGCGAGACGGGCGAAGAAGCCGGTGGGCTCGGGCTTCTGGGGCTGAGCGGGGCTGGAGGAAGGCGAGCCGCTGGGGATGGGCAGGATGGTGGCACCTCCGGGGACGTAGGGAACGGAGGTAGTACCGTGGCCCTGGGCCGAAGAGATAGGACGGCGAGTGAAAGAGGGGGTGGGACGGCCGCTGCTGCTGGGGAAAGGAGTGCTGGAGGGAGTGAAGGTCACGATGGGGGTCTCGGTGGCGGTCTCGACAGCAGTAGCGGTGGCAGGGATGGTAGTGGTGTCATCGCCCTCGTCGCCATTGCCGTTGCCGTTACCCTGCTGGTGGTTGTTGGCAGCGGGAGCAGAGGTGGCAGCGGTGCCGTCCTGTGAAGTGATGTTAGTTTATAGATGCTCAATTGCGGGGTTCCTTTGGTACATACAGCAGTAACGGTCTCGGTGGCAGTCACAGTAACGGTAACAGCGCCGCACTCGCCAGAGCCAGAGCCATTACCGGCGGCAGCAGAGCTGGGGGGCCTCGACGACGGTGAGGGTCTTGGTGGCGGTGGAGTGCAGGGTGGAGGTGACAGTGGAGGTTCCCTCAGTCTCATCAGCTCCAGTGTCCTGGTTGTGGTTCTGGTCACCAGGGGTCTCCAGAGCACCGCTGCTCTCGGTCTATCTCATTGTTAGTCAATTGATCTTGATAGTCAGGTCCATATATTAAGAGATACTCACGGCAGTGACGGTGTGGTGGTTGGTGGCAGTGCGCCAGATGGTGGTGGTCACAACGCTGGCGGTCGAACCGGTGCCAGTGGTGTAAGTGACGACAACAGGAGTAGAGATAGGAGCGGAGGTGGGCGAAACAACCGGGCTCGAGCTGGGACGTCCAGTGATGTGGGGACGAGAGGTGTGGATAGTCCAGGGAGCAGACGAGCTAGGGCTTCCAGAGGGAGAGCCGGAGGGAATGCCGGAGGAAGCGCCGGAGGGAGAAGCACCGGAGGGAGCAGCACCAGAGGGGGCGCTAGAGGGAGCACCAGAGGGGATTCCAGAGGGAATACCAGATGGGGCAGCGCCGGAAGAAGCAGCACCAGAGGAAGCACCAGGAGCAGACTCCGAAGGAGCGGGAACAGCAGGCTCGGAGGGAGACTGAGTAGGAACGGGCTCAGGGACGGGGCTAACGTATTGAGTCTGAGTAGTTTGAGGCAGAGGCAGACCAGAGCCACGAGCACGCAGGTGACGAGCGTGCATATCGTGAAGATCGGCTTCACCAACAGCAGCCATCGCGGCAACCAGTGCCAGAGCGAGCTTGTTCATTCCGTGCATTTTGAAATGGAAGTGGTTTGTGTAAAATCTCAAGGACAGTCAATGTCGGGAGAGTGAGTGTAGATAGTTCAAGGATGAACTGGAAACTGTGAATTCAGCAAGAGAGAGAGAGAAAGTGAATGAATGTGGGCGAAGTCGATTCGCGTTAGAAAAGAGTGAATATTCTCTAGAGAAAGAGAAAAGAAACGAAGAGAAGGTGGAAAGCACAGCTTGAAGAAGGAAAGAAGAAGAGGAGAGAAGGAGAGAAAAGAGAAGAGAAGAGATGAAGCAGAGTTAATTAAGGCCCACTTACGATAGAGTGTATAGTATACAATACACACTATACCGTGGGAAGAGTATAGAGTGTACTGAGTACGGTAATTACTTCCTTCAAAGGAACTTCCCATCTCCACCACCCACCACCACCCACCACCACCCACCACACTCCTTCACCATCACCAGCATTGCAACTGTGAGCTCTGTATGGAAGATACGGAGAATACTTCAAGTGGATCGCCCCACTGCCAGGTACAGAAACACGGACCCAGTCCAATCAGCCCCCCCCCAGCCGCCATCTCAACTGGACCTTTAATCTCACCTCGCCAGCCTTGGAATTCCCACCAACGAATAGGCGAGGTTGGTCTCCTCCATGACAGCCAGAGTGGCGCAATGACGACCAATTTTCCCGGTTTGCACTTTTCGGTCGGACAACATCGTGCTGGGTGACACCATTGTCAAACGGCGTACGAGTATGGAACACCAAGCATGGTGCATGGAAAACGGAGTAAACATCATCCCCACCCTGCAAATACCCCCTCAAGAACTATTTCGACAATTCCCAGGGAACCATCATCACTCCGTCGCTTCAGGTTGAGTCACTTGAGTCCACTGTCACGATCAGTTTTGACTCCTGCCACTCCTACTATCCTTTTCTTTCGCCCGTCGTTCATCCACATCAAGGGCTCGGGTGTTGCAGCCACCGTTTCAGTGTTTCACCAGAGGGTCAATCGGTGTGTCCGCCCGAGCGACCGTTTCACATTGAATATGAGACCCCGCCACCCATCCCGGCCCAGGGTCCGCATTGCACTTCCCCCTTGGAGATGAGGATAGACACAGCGGCTCAGCATCGGGCACGTTCTGGACTCATCTCATCTTCCATTTTCTGCTCTGGATCCCACTGCGGGAGCCTGGGGTAGATGAAGTTCCAAAGATTCCTCAAATGCCGCGCCCGTCTCGCCCGTGCGGCCCGGTGGGGGCCGCCTGAGATGCCGGTACTTTGGACGGGTCCCCCGGCTGGCCATTTGATCTGGACTCTTCTACTCCGTAGCAATCTGAACGATAGATTGAACACGGCTCATAAAAGGTAGGGCAGGGCTGATCCGCGGCTGAAATGAGATGAGATGAGATGAGAGATCCTTCGTTTACAATGTGCTTCCTGCTCGGGCGCCAACGCCCAGACCAGACCCGCTCCACTCAGACCCTGCTATCTGGCTCTGGCTCTCGCATTGCTCTACTCGTGCAGATTGGCATGAGGCTATCACGTCACAATCCTGAATCCTCAATTTATTCGCTGATGAGCAAAGTGACGGCCTAACTCGCGCAACTCAATTTTATCTCGTCATTAGCTAGGATTTCGATGACTGGTCTTTTTCCTTACCCGCCGCCCCCAACCCCCCTTTTCAAAATGTTTTCTTGTTCTTTTTTCCAGGGTCCAGCCGAACACACGGAGAAGCTTTGCAAGGTGAAACACCAGCACCGGCAATTTTTTTGCTCCCGGCCTTTCGCAACACCAGGGGCAAAGACACAATCTACAGCATCCCCTCCGGTTTGAAGCGACTTGTTCATCGAAATTTCTCGACTTCGAACAGCGATCTAAGTCGATTCTAGCAACTTTCGTGCTCATCGCGACAGGGGTTTATTGAAGTTCCTTGCGGGGTTGGGTTGATTCGGGCGCTCGCGGCCGCGATAACAGTGTCTTTACTATTGTTTCGCCAGCGCATCATCGAGAAGTATCGTCGATCATCTCTCCAAAATTGTTTCTCGACCCTTTGCTTCGAAACAGCCTATTCTAAGCGAAGATGTTGCTGGTCCCATCGTTCGTCGCTGGGGTCCGAAAATGCCATCAAGGGAACTAACCTTGCCAAGGTCAACTGTAACAGGGGTTGATCCGTGAACTAAGTATCCTAGTGCTCGAGTGCTTCTGTATGACTCGCTGAACTCGCTGATTCGCTTCAAGCTTCTGGTTCATGATGCGTTTGTATATTTCATGAAACGTATGGTCGCAAATACCCACTAACCCTAGAACAATAGCAACTAACTTGCTCCTGGACCCGAATGCTTATAGTAGGGCTCCATCTTGATTCTACTTGGCATAGCTCTCATACTAGTATATATTGGTACTATTATGCATGGTCGCAAGTGATAACCATCGGAAGCTAAGAGATGGCACTATGACTCGTGCGGTGAGCTGAGGTGATGGGACAAGCACTTCAATCACCGCAAGAAGACGAAGAAATATGAGGGCGTACCCCCGCATTCAGCTCAATTGAGGGATTTGTAGTATGGTCATTCAACTTATTTGGATTTACCGTTCTTTGAGAATATGTCTGATTTACGCATTTTCTAGACTTGTATACATCGCAAATAATGCCAATACCAATCCGACAGCAGATTACACTATCCTGATAGGTCTTACCTTTATCGAAGTATCCATCGGCTGATATTGTTAGACTATCTGACTATCAGTGCAGAATTCCCGCCGGGATTTCAATCCGAACCATGCAAGGTAAGGGTGCAATTGGTATAGTTCAGCCAAAAGTCGTGAGGTCATTCCAAGCCCAAATGCAGGCACCAAAACATTCCAAGGGCTATCATAAACCTCTCCATTTGCCCGCGGGACCTCTTCATTTCTTTGAGATATCACATTGAATTCTCTCTCTTCAAATCTTCAATTATCGCAAATATGTCGGTCAAGGCGTCATTGGATACGGCTAATCGTCCCGATGAGTGGATGATCGAGCAGGGGATGGCTGCTCACAAATTGCCAATTCTTGATCAGAGTGGGAGGGAAACTGTTCACATTTATCCCCCCCAAGGCAAGCAAGGCCTTTAAGGATGAAGAGGCTATTGCTTCGGTTGGGGATCCTAAGAAATTGTTCAAACGGGAGCGGGTTGGTTGGAAAGGGTATGTTTATCTAAACTCTTGGGTGCAATTGGGTGATTCTCCTCTTGTGTTATTGACGAGTACTAACAATGGCACTTTTCCGTGTAGATATGTCGAATGGGAAGAATTTCCCGAGAAAAAAAGCCAGCGCCCGCAAGCTCCTCGCCTCTCAAAGCTTCCCTGACAGTCCAGACTTCATGTTCGGTCCTATCCCCGAGACAAACCCCGTTCTAACCGGAGATGATTTCGTGGCCTGGCATGAAGCAATTGGCGGGGAGTTGACGCCTGTTCCTGAAGACTCATGGCGAACCGTGTTATTGGAGAAGCATCCAGACATGTTGCATCTTCTGAAATTCCCTTACAATGGCGAACCTCCCAAACGACTGGTTACTTCCAAAGCCATCACGCCCAATCCCCTGCACTTCGTCAGAAATCATGGCGGCATCCCGATAATTGACAAGGACAAGTGGGACCTCTCGCTTGATGGGCTGGTGCAAACGCCGAAACGATTTTCCCTAAACGACTTAATGGATGAGAGTCGCTTTCCTCGTATCGAAAAGACCGTGACGATGCAGTGCTCGGGAACTCGCCGTATCGAGCAGATCGGGCTTTACGGTGGCCAGGGCGACGAAGTGCCCCAGGCACCCTGGGCCGAAGGTGCAATCGGTACGGCGCGGTATGTGGGCATCAGCTTGAAGAAGGTCATCAAAGAATGCGGGGGACTTATCGATTCTGCGAAGCATATTGAGCTCTACGGAGCCGAGACATATGTGAAGGATCTAGAAGTTGGAAACTACGTTGTCAGCGTGCCTTGGTCAAAAGTCAAAGCGAACGAAGTCCTTCTAGTCTGGGAAATGAATGGCGAGCCACTCCCCAAGATCCACGGATATCCTCTGCGGGTAGTTGTTTTGGGATATATTGGTGCCCGCAGTGTCAAATGGCTATATCGTATTAAAGCCATCAAAGATGCATCTCGTGCTCCGGTCCAGAGCAAAGAGTATCTTTACTTCAACCAGCAACTGGGCAAATACAACCTCCGCCCGACGGACGGTATCCAGATCCAGGAGATGCCGGTCAGTTCGGCGATCATGTCCCCTTGGACAAAGCAAGCGGTCATCCACGTCGGAAAAATTCGCTGCAAGGGCTGGGCATATTCCGGCGGGGGTCGATGGCCCGAACGAGTGGAGTTGTCTGCTGACGGGGGTTTCACCTGGTACTAAGTGCTGGCGGAGAACATGTCCAAGAAAGGACGTTGGACCTGGCGAACGTGGGAGATGGACCTTCCATGCGACGTGGAAGGCTGGATAGAGATCGTTTGTCGGTGCTGGGATAATTCATTGAATACGCAGCCGCTGAATATCCGTGCTGCATGGAACTGGGGGCTCCATGTTACTTCTTCCGCTCATCGAATTAAGGTCTACAGTATCAATAAGAGTCGGGAAATCACGAGGAAACGACTGGACAAGTATGATCAAATGGGTGTGCCTTTGGCTCCGCTGACCCGCTACGAAGTTATGCCTGTCCAGAGTTCCGATGAGTATGAAGTTTTCTGGAATACACATGATCCACGGGATGTGGAAGACTGAGGACTGAGATCGAAGATGCGTCTTTCAGTATCTCGTTGATTGATGACCTTTCTTTTTCGATTTCTCCATATTCAAATCCGTGATCATTGGTGACGGTCCCGGCCCCTTTTCTAGGCAGCAAGCGTTCCTTATCTTCTAATTGAGCACTTTATTTCCGGGTAAATTAAAGAAGCAATAGGCAGTGTTCGTAATTGATTTCCGAACGATGGATATTAAACTAGTAAAGCGCCTGGGTACATGAGCAATTTCGAAAAATAGCCCGACGGTTGAAAGTACTAGAACTAGTACTCTCAAATGAAAGTCCACAAAAGTACGGAGAACTGCTAGGCAAAAAGGGCTTCCACTAGGCATCTCGCGCCTCCCTGTTTCACTTAGTGGTTTCAATCACATCCCCCATCATCACAATCCCAGTCTTAGCGCGATCAAGGAACTTCTCCTCATCTGCAGCAATCTGAGCTGCCGCCTCCGGGGTCTGGGTCTTTGCTGCAAAGGCAGCAAGAGAAAGTTGGTCCGCGAATGTTAATTCTGCATAGGCGTCAAAGTCGAAATCTGCCTGTTGGCCGGCAAGTAAGACTGCCGGGGTGGTGGCATTGCGGGAAGATGCTCCATCGGGGGCAGCCTGAACGGAGTTGCGAGCAACATATGTCCGTTTATGTGAGAGCGGGAAATCATCAGCGGCTAGGCGTTTTAGGAGAATAACGTGCGCTTCGTAGTGCTTCTTGAAATCATCGACTGAAAGGCCCGGTTTGCGATAGGCGTGGATGAGGGCTGTGATGGTCATTTTCGTGTCAGGGCGATAGCTTCTCTTCCGGTTCTTGGAGAAATTTTGACTTGAGCTAATTTAAGCTGAGTTTTGCACTGTGGGCGGGGTGTTGTTGAGTGGTGAAATCACCTCGAATATAAACATGACACGGTGGGGGCCAGAACTGCGCCCGCCCGCTCTAAATAGTAATCTGACCATACCCGATCGGGGGATATCAGATGCTTCAGGTTGGTACTTGTGGAGCCTTGAGTGTACAGGAGTAGGAGTAGCAGAACTTATCGCTAGTCTACTAAAAGTTATTCTAAATCAAATTTACAATGATCCAAGAAAATATCATGATGTACACTCCCATCCCGCCCGTCGCTAAGTCTACAATACACCTTAAAAAAAGGAATATAGTCAGGAGTCAGGACCACTATATCTTCAAACAATACTGTATTTTTCTAGGTTCCAATGTATTCTCGGTATATTTACTACTTACTATGCACCACTGCGCGTAAGTCGTGCCTACTTCCTTTGTAGTACTACTAGTAGGTACCTAGGTACACACTTGCCTTAGATATATCTACTTCTTTGGGCGGGCACGCGTTACCCCCCGACTTAAGTTGTCTTCAAGTTTCCAAATACTATCCTCCATGTTCTGAGATTTCTAAATATCCTTATTTTTTACCTCCAGGGCTACTAACTTATATTTCTAGATTTTGCTAATTTCTAGGGTTTACTTTGGCAGTACGCATTGCTTTACGAATATAAATACTAGTTACTACTAGTAGTAGTATTAGTGGTTAGTGAAATACAATGGCCCTGAATGAATACAATTATGTAGGTATACTGATAATATTCTCTAGAATATATTATTAGAAAAGATGGTATCATATGAATACTTTGTTTCGAAATGCTATTTTGGAGACAGTATTGTCGGCATGACTATATTTTTACTATATTTTTGCAAATTGCCCGGCGGGCGGGATGGCGGAAATATAGCCTAGACCTGTCTTATACCTGATTCAAGTAAACTAAGGGTTACGCTCTATAACCTGTATCCACATATCTGAGATCGCAAAAAGCCCAAGATAGTTCTTCACGTCCCAGGGGCGCGTCGGGTTGATAAGTGACAAGTCGAAATTTCGGAAGAGCTGCGTGTAATTCAAAATTCATCAGTTCAAGCACTTTCAAGTTACAGTTGAAAGCTGGAAAGCCGGTATCTTACCTCGAATATCAATTTTCCGATCTCTATGTCAGCCACGGTCTTGCCCAAACAACGGTATTTCCCATAACCGAATATAAGCTCATTTGTCCGGACCATACCAGCTAACTTAGTTGAGTCTGATTCAAACCATCGCTCTGGCCTGAAGACCTTGGCATCTTTGCCATATATCTTTTCGCTATGGTGCATAGAGTATGCTGAATACCCAATACAAGCACCATCGGGCAGGAATACACTCTCCCCATCAACAATAACAGTATCACCACCAGGTGGGACATCACGCGAGAAAATATTCGCCACGGGCGGCCAGACTCGGAGAGCTTCGCGGATAACTGCCTGCAGATAGGGAAGCTGTTTAGTCTGACCGGTAGTAATGATGCCCTCGCTCGGTACAAGTCCATTGCTGACAGAATCGTCTATCTCACGCTGTAGCTTGTGATAGACGCGTGGATTGGTCATAATATGCAGGAGAGATCCACGAATGGCACCCGCCGTTGTATCGGAACCAGCAAGGATTTGCTCTAGAGCCTCGCTGCGTAGTTCATCGCCAGAGAGACCGTGACGTATGAAAGAGGCCAGCATGTCAGATCGCTGATCGGTCTTGCTCGCAGCACGCCCATCGACAATTTGAAAACAAGCAGTCATCATCTTTCCAAATCCGTTCTTATCCTTGGGCGAGGCAGCCACGTATTTACCGATGAATGGTGCCTGGGTGATCCAACTGAAGCCCATGGCGAGGGCAGTATTTCCGATAGAAAGGCCCTCCTCCAGCGATGAAAGGTAATTATCCACGTCCCGGTCGCTCTCCAGCATACCGAAATTACTACCGAGGCCAACACTGCTAATGACATCGAGAGTGAAGTACTGGACCTTCTTTGCCAAGTCCATGGGGACCGTATCGTTGTCAGATGAGACGTATTTGGCCCGGATAAGGTCTAGAAAATCTTGGACTCGCTCATCTATGGCTCCCTCAAGCTGAAGATTCTCCCTTCCCGAATACTGTACAGTAGAATCTGTCAGCAAATTGCATTCTCGTTCAAATGGTGAGACGGAGCCTCGGAAAGATGAATAGGTAGCCATCATACCCTGGAGCCATCTGCTTCCTTCGTCGGTCGTGCTTGGCGTTATCTGTCTGAGTGAAAACATTGTCTTTGCGATGTTCAATTCGCGCGGCAGTATAATACCAATCGGATCGTTTGTAGCCAGGCTTATTGTTGACATGCATCCAAACCTCCGGGTCGGACGTAATCAGCACTCGAGGTGCAACACGGGCGATGGGGCCTGTCTCGTATTCAGAATATTACCCATCGAAGTGAACTCTTCCCAGGAGAGAAAGCATACCATATTTATTATTGACTTCGGCATACCATTCGTGGCAGTTGTGTCGAAGCAGTGCCAGACTATGAGGCCAGTTTGAGATCCCAGTCCAGCGAGGACCCTCAAACTGGCGCAGTTTGGCATAACTTGTAATCGTCTTGACGACCCAGAGGGTTATCAAGCCACAGAACAGCGTGACAGCTGGACTGAAGAATGTGATTAGCCCCATATTGTAATAAATATCAGCGTGGTTGCAGTGGATGAAACGTTTATCCCCCTCTGCAGGGATTTGGAGTTCACGCTTGGTATAAGGGGGGTGAGAACTTGAATTTCTAGCGCGATTGAGAAAGGGTTCGTTTAAAATGGAGACTCTGTAATTGGACGTTTGAGGACATGACGGGTGATAGACTCCGCCAGAGTGGTACTAGTACTTTTGCTCATAGCGGGGGTTGGATAAAATCTCCGTGCAGAATGTGTGGCGCAATTGATCCTGTTTGGATTCTGGCTGCAAGCAGCTTGAAGTAAATATTCTGCGTGTCAATAGATCCTACCAATGAGCAGTGACTTCCAAGGATTATTGGTGGGTTCTCGCGCTAATATGAAAGTCTGAGGTCTATGTACTCGTAATCAGGTGTTAAAATGCGTTCGAGTCTCCTTGAGAATATTATTCCAAGATTGACAAGTGCTAGTACGAGACTAGTACTAACTAGTACTATTAACGTACATACCCACTACAGCTATACAGCGGCATTGCAAAAGTTTGAAATCCCATTATGACCGCCTTCTAATGGGAAACTAGTAGCTACCTGAGATGGAATGGATAGGCCAATCTATTCCATCTCAAGTAGCTACTAGTCCGCGGCGGAGACGAGAACAGTCAACATGGGTTTCAAACCTTTGCAACGCTACTGTAGAGACTTCAAGCTCTGCTGTCCTTTTTCAGGAACCTTTCAAGGTTCAAGGTTTTGGAATTGAGGTTCACTGGCAAGTTCCAAAGGTTTCAACTTAACTTTTTGGAATTCCGCGCCCGGGCGATCAACCCTGGAGAGGGCAAGAGAGCACTAGTATTATATAGTACTAGTATTTCCGAATTGATCTTGGCAAGGCAACTTAGTACCGTTGACTAGATCTGCATCAGTCAAATTTTGGTGGCCACTCGACCTTCTAGGCTTTCTATATGCCATTCTAGATTCTGATCTGAAACAGCCAGTGCTCTCTATACTCTTACACGTTCTTTATTCGCGGAGGGCCCCCACCGCGGTTAAACGCGGACAGCCCGGGAATGCGGGGCCGGGTAGACCCCGGATGCGACGGTGAACCGGGATTCGGATATAATTGAGTAATATGATCTCAATTTAGTGTGATCAGGTGGGGTCTGCAAGGGACTAAGTTTCCTCGTGATCCTCAGATAAGGAACAGAAAAAAAAAATCCATTGAAATCGAAACAACTTCGCACTTCACGTATTATTGCAATATCGCACTTTAGTATCACCAGGTCGATTCAATGGCAACACATAGACGAGTCCCGAGGTGAGTCTGATGCAGCCTCTTATATCCCTATTTCTTTCACTCTTGTTTACTCAAGATTTTTCAATCAGTGCCTCCCCCACCCCCGACAAGGTGTTCCTCGAAGCGTGCGATGTGTACTTTCAACACTGTCACAATAAACCATATGGCTTCTTCAACGCCAAACTCTTTAAAATAAAGGCCTCGCAGAACAAAATTCCTTTACACCTTCGCTTGGCTCTGATCGCTTGTGCGACTCGTTATTCATCTCGATCACAATGGAAGGAGAGAAAACAAAGCACGATCGATGGGTACGCGCGGGGTGCCTGGGAGCTTATCATGTCCTCACCCGATGGCCTAGATGGCAATGAAGATGTATCGTTGATTCAAACCCTGGCAATTCTTGGGGTTATCGATGCGACTGGTCAGTAAAAAGGCTATGGGGATAAACTTGCAATTCGTGCTGACCGTTTTTGAAGCTGGCCGACGGAGAGGTGCATGGGTCAAGATTGGAATGGCCGTTCGAATCAGCCAAGACTTGAATATGATGGCAGAACCTTGCTCTCAACTCTCTGGCTTAGAGCAGGATGAGCGTAGAAATCTTTTCTGGTCACTTTACCTCCTCGATCGGTTTGTGTGCTGCTCATTCGACCGACCACCCGCGATCAAAGACTCAGACTGTCTCCTCAATCTTCCTACCACCCATGGCTCATCAAAGTCAGCAACGCCTCTCACATTACGCCAACTTCGTTCTCAAAGGTCCCACGATATGTCCCACCGATTCGGAATGTTTGGTATCAGTATCGGCCTTGCTTCTGCATTGGGACGCGCAGTGAAATGTATGATGACGAAGACGCCAAACTCCCACGCGCCATGGCAGAATGATTCGGAGTTCTTGGCTATATACTCAGATCTTGAATACCTCAAGGAGCTGGCCGTTAAGAATTCCCCTGTGCTAGCTGAGCCGGGCCAGCCTCGCTCTCAAAGCGATATGCAAGATACCGACCGCGAGCAAACGGCGCACATGGTCTTATCACACACTGTTTACCACCTTGCACATTGCATCCTGAGCCACCCCTTCCTCCTCGCTCTGAAGATACAAAATTTCCAACATTCTGAAATTCCACCAGCTTGGCTAGAAGAGACGCGAGCAACGTGTCTTGTGCATGCCGGATCGCTAGTCACTGTTCTAGTTGAAGCAAAAGCAGCCGGATATATGCCTGTTCCATCGGTTTACAGTTATTGCATTCTACTTGCGAGCACTATACACGCATTTTATCTTTACAGTGACAGCTCGGCAATAAGTGCAAGCTCGGCTGAGTATCTACGTACTGCCCTGGACTACCTGGGCGAAATTTCCGAGCTTTGGGGCAATGCTCAGATGATGGTTAGTATTCCTTCGACACCCTGAAATGTCGATATCAATTAACCCTTTTTGCAGGCAAATGCCTTGAAGTCTTTCGTTATCCAATGCTCACGATACAGCGATATTCTCCTCTGCCACAAGCCACGTCTCCATGAACTTACCCAAACGGAAACCACCATATTGACAGCAGTTGTGGACTACTGGACTATGATGGACCCGCGGAATCCAGTATTTGATTTGGCGCCATTCAATGCTGACAATTTTCCCGATTTCTCCGATACGGAATTCGGCTACCTAACACCGCCAACATCATCTGCGCTTGGGGGAATTTCTTCGAGCGGTGGTGGTTCAGACTACAGCATAAATAAGGAGGGCCATTCCATTGACCCCGATATTCTGCTTCACTACCCCGTTTCAATGATGTCTCCTATTGCATCAGAAGATGGCGGCTCTCCTCGATGGGACTGGGACCATGAGCTTGACTCTCTTGTGGAAAGGAAATGATGGGTTGTCAACATCTGTCACTTTATTTAACATTTTGTTTCTGTTCCTCGACCTTTTCCATGTCTCTCTCTCTGTCGATGAATCCTCTTTTTGTCCTGGTAGCTATTCTGCCAGTCGGTGTTATGCGGGATCAAGCCCCATGCGACAAGACATCTATCCTGCTCTTCTGTCAGGTCTAGCCAGGCATAAAGATCCTGACGTCGCTCTTGGACAGGCTCTTGCTTGGTAGCCGGCGAAAGACTTTCGACGTCGATGAAGGTCTTTGGTTTGCTTCCTGTCCCGTTCAGGCTGCCTTTCTCCACATTTGCGTTCTGGTAACGAGCAAATTTCCGCTCATCTTCCGTCCACACGCTCCAATCCTCTGGGTATGAGGATATTGTGGCCTTCAATCTCGAGGTCACCCAGCAAGTCAATGTCTCATCCTCTTCGTTTCCCCGCGCAAAGCGGCGCCGCAAGGCTTTCCATATCTTCGACTTCGAGTCTTCAGAGCCGACCTTGTAGCCTGTGAGGACTGTTGCAACGATGATGAGCACGACGGAGCAAATCTGTGTTGGCAGCTCTGCCATGCCAATACTAATAACATGCACGGCGAACGCAACCCAACCAATTGCTCGGCAGGTCAAATAAAATATGGGACTCGGGATGCGAGGATTTGTGGTGAATATCGCCTTGATGAGATAGTTCGGGGCAACAAGTGTCAGAATCTTCGAGTCGTCGGTCACCATAAGAACCTTTGCCTCATGGAAGTCCTTTGGCTCAACAGGTGGGTCTCTCGTCTCTGTACTGGAACCCGTTCGCTCCCAGTCCTCGAATTGTTGGAGGGCCCTCTCGTACTTTGACACTTTGGCCTGGGCTTCCTTTTCAGCTGTCTCGATATTTGCATCAATACCAGCTTGATTCTGATGTACCTGTCCACATCTTACTGCGACAGATATAATCATAGAGATGACATTTGCGAACCCCCACCAGTCAGCCGAAAGTACGGTCAAGGCGAGAAGCATTCCATGTATTGGTAAACTGATCAAAGTGAAACCAAAAAGGAATTTGGTCCATCGAAAAGGGCGATCTGCCACTTCCCATGTCACTTTGCTTCGAACTTTGTATAAATCCTGTGCTCGGATCCAGCGCGAGACCCATCCAGCCAATTCCGTAGTCAAAATTCCTGCCGAAATATTGTAGAGAATGAAGCCGGTCTTCTTTTCTGTAAACCGATCTCCAGCTACCACAAAAGCGCCGAGTAATGGTAAATAGTCAAAATACGCGCTGGGCATCAGACGACCGATATTACGGTCCATCTCCTCCGCCCGAGAAGAGTAACGAGACCGAGGGCATCGATCCGTAGCCCTGTGCCCTTGGCCCAGGAGTTGAGGCTTTCTTGCCACGGATACATTTAGCATGGGAAAGCGCGAGGCGGCTATTCTGCTCGTCAGATGAAGGTGGCACCAAGTCGAATCTGATCAGACGTGGGCGAGGTTCGCACTCAGGCACGCTGCTTACTGCGTACTAGTATTGTTTAGGAGCCGCAGACATTACACAGCCCGAACAAGGATCCAAACCCTCCGAAGGATAAAATGATTTCGTACTCCGTAAACGCAAAACTAAAAGGCAAAACAAAGCCGTATTCCTAGTGATAAAAATTGCTTGCTTTTTGATTCCAATTTTTTTTGGACCCCAAAGCAAGTTCCGTTGTGGCTGCTTACCCGTAGATACGTCCACGACAAGGCGCCCCTGTGATAGGCTGTCACAGCATGAAAAAAAGCAACGATGAAATCTCGACTCCATGAATAATGCTCACGGGACGGCACCTCTTACCGTTGCTGGCCTAGCCAGGGATCATCTTTTCCCGCAAGTGGTCTGGTCATCCAGAGGGGTGGAAATTGCGCCCCGCCCCTCTGCAGCGACGACACGACTAGTTTAGGGTTGGCACCAACACAGTTGTCAATGCTTAGCCCGGATGATTTGACCACTGAGGTCCAATGGAGGACCAAGATGCCGGGCCGCAACTCAAGACTAATGCATCATAACCTTTTTCAGAAATAGGAAAGGGGCCGGCTTGTTGAGTCAACCTCCAGCGGATACGAGGTTCGCTCAATTAATGACACATGTTGTTGGTGAACACGCTCCTTCCTTGTCCCTGTATTCTTCACAGCACCAGTGAAAAATCTGATATTTGAGAACGTCGTTTTTCTTCCAGATCCAAGACCTTGTCTGCTTCAGCTAGTACAGGGTGCCTTGTGTGAAAGTTCCGCGCAGTTTGAGACCCGCAAAGCTAATCCCGCGCTAGCGTGGCTGACACCACCCCTAAGGAAGGTTACTCCGTATTCAGTTGAAGATCTTGGGGCCAAACTAAAAGAGGAGCAGAACATGCGGCCCAAGCATGCTCTCGAGGCGCCTGGGGACGACAATCCAGGCCTTGGATTGGCGGGTCTACCACGCGACCTGTTTGACAGGTGCACTCTTCGCACAGTATGCTAGCCGGAACGTGCTTACGGCACGGAAAGGCTTGAACGTTGCGGCTCTGGAGCCCCTGAAATTTGAAATTCCACTTCCAGGGCTTACAGATATTTGCTTAAGAAGAAAATGATATAAGCTCCCTCGTGGCCCCGCACGGCCGGTCGAGGTAAGATTAAATCATTGCTGCTTTTTTCTGAGTATGCCCAGCTTGGCCTGTTTTACAGACTGAAATTTCATTTGCCAGTATGGGCTCTTCTCATTCCTCTGTGGAAAGTGAAAAGCATGAAAGGGATGTATGGAGGACTCATTTGGAGCATCAATATGACGGAAGTCACCACCGAACGGCGGGGGTTCGATATCGGCGCCCCAAGCTGGACTCGCATGCGATTGAAGAGCGAATGAATGAGCTTCAACACGGAAATCGAAAACTAAAGAAGCGACGATATCTCAATATCCTCGGTGAAAACGACCACGAGAAGTACCCAGATCTCGATACCTATTACAGCACAACAAAAGAGATACCCCGCCGACTGATTGTCCAAGCCACCCACGATGCCCAACATGATACTCGAGCGCGCCACTGGGGTCACAGCACTATCAAAGGAAACAAACCGTTTATTGTCTGGCTTTCTGAGCTTTGCTTGAACCCTTTTCGCTTTGACAAATATGACGGCGGTTTTGTGGATGAGGACGATGAAAAGGCTGAGGAGATCCGGTGGAAAAAGATGAGCCTTGCACGGAGAATCTTCCAGACCACTATACACTGGATTGCCTCGACAGTTCTGACCCTGCTGCTTGCCTGGATCATCCAAGTCATGTTGTCAGTCCAAGTTGTCACTGCACCTTGGAGCGACTCAGGTGAAGCTGGCTCTTATGAAGATTATGATAATGTTCACTGGGAATGGCCCCATCATGCAGTCAATATTCTAGACCAGTCGCCGAGCAACACGAAGCCACAATCTACAATCACCAAACTGATGATCCCCCGGCGCCTGGTGGTCAAAGACAAATCCACCGGCAGATGGGTTGTGAAGATGACGGACGAACTTCGTGACAAGCACACTGGTATGCTTCAACCATACGTGTTTCTCAGCTTTTCTCGGGCCAATTTCCTGGGGATTGACGACACAAGATTGAGGCCGTTCTTTTATCGGGTCGCAGAAGCAGTTCTGGAACACGAAAACGCACGTCGGGATGAAAGGGATCCCCCCATGGAAGCTTTCTGGCTTGACATGGACTGTGTCGCATCGAATCCTCCAGTCAAGGATAAAAATGGAAATATGGTAAACCCAATCATGCATGCCGACTCGGAAATGACAAAGGACATCAATTCCATTTGTGATGCCGTACGATGCGCAAAACGAGTCTATGTTGTCCTACCCGACGATCGCCCGGAAGACAAGCTGATTTGGGGCCGACGCATCTGGACTCTGCCCGAAGTCTTACTTGCAGCTGATAAGATCCGATATTGCATTTCACCATTCGAGGCCATGCAAGGAAATGGTGTTATCCGAATCAACAATGTCTTGTTAACTGACATGTATAACAGCTTCTGGGCAGGCCATCCATCTCGCTCCCACTTGGCTGGTAACGAGAAATGGGATACCCATGAAGATGCAATCACACACCTTGTCAACCACTATACGAACCGAACCAAGCTGAGCGAGCTGCAGCTGTTCACCTTTGCCATTCAGGCTTTGGCCCAACTGACTTCTGGCAAAGACACTCGGGGTGAGAGTACCGTGGAGTTAGCATATGCCGCCATGGGACTGCTAGCTTATCGGCTCACTCCTGATGATAATGAAGATGTGTTTCAAGCTGTCGCACGACTGTCTCTTGTCAACGACAGCAATCATCTACTTGAACGTCTGCTCTGCTTGTGGCCAAACTATGGCGACAATGAGCAGAATCCCCGAAGCCAAGGCGAAGTATGCCGTCGCGAGCAGTGATACTCTTCTGCGGAACATTGCGGATCCTGATCAATATGCCACTCACCTATGGGATATAGATCCGATGTGCGATGTGGTCGGAATTGGAAATGACAAGTTCACGCCCACTGTCATAACCGATCGCTGTCGGGGTATTCCCATTCGGTGGAAGGGATTTCCCAGAATGCGATATGCCCAGGACCTGACCAGCTTTCGGGCAACTCTAGCACAAAGCGTCGTTTTTGCAGGCGCATGGTTCTTCGTCACCGGATTCGGACTCTTTTCCTCGGCTATATCACTAGCAATGGCGAACAACGTCAATACCACCGACAAAACTACCAGTATCAACATCGGTTCTTATCTATACGGAATGGCGGTATTTGTTGGCGTCGGATGGGCGATATCCTGGTTCAGCCCACTGGCAGTGCGTCAGCTTTGCAACGGCGGATCGTCCGGTGTTTCCTGTCATTTGATAGGGTTCGAAGGTACAATGACACTCCGAAAAATTGAGAAGGCGATATATGGCAATTACAATGCTCGGCTTTCCTATTCTGCATCTTCTTCCATCTTCTCCAAGGACCTGCGACATGAGAAGCTTCGAATGGGAATCGAGCGTCCCGATAAGAATGGAGACCCCGAAGGGCCAGAACATTGGAAACAGCAGAGAGTGAAGCACAATATCCCCGACTCGCATCGCCTATTCACCATTGTGGATACGGGTGATTTGACCGTTACAGTGATTGCTGCTCAGAGGCCACCTGTGGTTGCTTTGATCGCTGGTCGCGAGGGTGGCATGTTGCGGTCCCTGTTGTGTAGCTGGCGGTTTGAAACGAATTGTCTGTATCGTGAATGTGTCATCCGTATGCGGAGCTCGTTGGAGGAACAGGCTACTCCGAATGACTGGCTTAAAATCAGTCTGGCCAGCCAAAGCGATGTCAATCAGACCCGGTCGCTTTACCAACCAAAGAGCCAGCCTGCGCCTCCTGTTGTTACTGGTTCCATTCCGCCTTCAGCTCTCCCGGTTCCTCCTCAGAAAATTCCCGTTGTCGGTCAGACCAATGTTGAGTCACTGCAATGATTCATGCTATTGTTCAGCGTTGTTGTATTCAAGATCAAATTGTTTTCCCTCTCAATTTTCTAAAGATTGATCGTGTCCGAATAGTATATTTGTACCAATTTAGGCTGGGATGGAGTGGGTATGGACCTGTATGGAATCTAATCTAATGTTGTCTGCGCGACAACACTCTCTGGTATATCAACACTTTCTAAAATAGTAGCATCTCGATCGAAAACTCCAGTCTCGACAAATTGTTTCATCACCCCAAGGACACTCCTCTCAATGACGAGAGTTGACGGATCCTGGGGCTCGATGACATTCAACATGCGAGAGAGGTAACATAGCGCACATGTCAAAGATTTCCCACTAGTAATTCGACTCAGGAAAGCAGGCATGTATGTCGGCTGCACAGCCGGTTCCCCACTGTGCCCATCAATATTCAAGCCACGCACGAGGTTCTCTCTAGTTGTGTCATCGAGGCAATTCCACGCATCTTCGAAAAGCTTTGCCTTTTCCAGGGTGTTCGCATTTCCCATGCAAAATATCCGCATCAAGGCGCGATCACTCGAGGACTCCTGCACGCAAAGGAGCCGGAAGCCCTGATCATAAAGAAACTGTGCCCGCCGAATAAGAATGAGATCATATCCACCGCGAATGTCCAACCTCCCTGAGATAACACCCTCGCAAGCATCATAGACGTTTTGATAAGATTGAAAGATCGGTTGAGTGAGCTTTTTCGCGCACGTCCAGTCCATGTGGCCCGCTGCTCCGGCAATGTCTAATAGCTGCTCCATGAATCGGAGCTGAAAGCTGCGAGGGCTGCACTTCATTTTCAGGAGACCTGTGAGACAGACGGGAACATTCTCCGCTTGTGCTAGTTGGCCGAAGTTGAAAGTCGCGCCGAGTTCAATTGCGCGCACGATATCTTCTCTGTCTTGGCAAGACAACTTTTCGAGAGACCCAATGAGACCAGCACTACATGCTTTGAGAAGAACTGCGTCATGGTTGATATGTGAAATGTTTTCGCCGGTCGATTCTTCATAGTCCAAGGCTAATTGCGGGTCTTTCCCCAGATCGTTGATGACAATGGACATAATTAGCGCGTATAGGGTATTCGAATCACTGATCGTCTGCGTATAGAAGCCTCGAATCCAGTCGAACGATTCTCTTGTTAGTTGGGTTTCAGATGGTTGCGACGACACAAAGGCCTCGTATTGCTCCAGATGGATCCAACGCAGAGAGAGAACCCCCACCAGGGTTCTATTGACCTCATCGTAGTTTTCCTTGTAAAGGATGTATGACGGAGATGGGGAATCGGGGGGGCACCATCCATCGCGAATCGAATAAGCCCGTTTTAAACGGTCAATATCCGCCGAGAAATCTTGGTAGACTAGTTGCAGCAAGTCATTTGGTGGGATCGTGAATAGTGCATCTGGATCGGCGCATGCTTCTCGCAGCGAGGGATACTGGTTCTCCATTTGAGGTGAATTTGTGTTTAGGGATGGTTTCTCTTCGTGTTGTCCAAACTGGAATGGATATAAGCGAACAGGTGTGCACAGCCACCCAGAAGTATATTCGAGTCTCAGCCGCAGCTGGGATTGCTGCGGTCGATGCGATCATTGGAAGGAAGAGTGTGGAGAAGGAGACCTTGAGACATCCCCGAGGCTATCCCATCCCATTGTGGCGGGGCTTATCTCTTATCACCATCACATCAACATTGCCCCGAGGGTGCCTCGGGTTCAACCATCCCATTTCCCGCATCAACTCCATGGCTTCTTTTCAAGCCCTGCGCCCGCAGTACAGCTCACTGCTTAAGCAATTCGCATCATCCTCAAAGGATTTTGCAGTGCTGAGCAGCGTGCCCGAACGCTCCCCGCCAGCAAAGACTCTCTTTGTGCTAGACTCGTCTTTCAATCCCCCGACTCGCGCCCACCTCCGCATAGCCAGCTCCGCCTTACAAGAACATCTCGACCCTAGATCTCGCCTCCTTCTCCTCCTCGCGACACAAAATGCAGACAAGCCCTCAAAACCAGCCTCCTTTGAGGACCGACTCGCCATGATGGAGCTGTTTGCGCACGACTTGCGCTCCCACTTAGCGACGAGCTTCCCTGAGGGACTTCGCTCCAATGACGATCTCCCAGCAATTGACATCTGCGTCACCAAAAAGCCTTACTTTGTTGATAAGGCGACGGCAATTGAGGCATCCGATTGCTATCCCGGTGCTCTTGAACAGATCCATCTCACCGGCTACGATACCCTGATCCGCATCTTTAATACCAAATACTACCCACCCGAACACACATTACAACCATTAGCCTCGTTATTTTCAAAGCATCGCTTACGCGTGACAATGCGACCAAGTGACGAATGGGGCAGTCGAGAGGATCAAGAAGAGTTTGTGTGCGCGCTTGCTCGTGGTGATCGAGAGGCTGAGGGCGGACCGAGGGAATGGGCGCAGAAGATCCAACTTGTCGAAGGAAGAAAGCCTGGTGATCCATCTGTCAGCTCTACTCGTGCGCGAGATGCGATTCATGGTGCTGTTGAGGACCTGGAATGGTTGGTCCCAGAAAAGGTACGCCAGTATCTTCTGGCGGAAAAGCCGTATACTAGAGACAGCCCAAGCACCAGGATTTAGTATCTTGCTATGAGCACCTGGGCAGTAATATATTTGAGAATCCACAACTTCCGAGTACTCTCAATAGTCACGGTACTATGCTGCTGCTACGGAAATCACTACTAGTAGCACTCTGAATGGGTCTTGTTGGAGGAATGAATTCACGGTGCATGCCATGTTGGTTCGGCATGTCCGGGAGTAAAGCTTTGGAATATGTTACAGATATACATGACGACCTCAATTTCCACTCTCAACGACGCCGATTTTTGACTCCTCCCAATTATGCCGCTCGACCATTTTCAATTACATATCGTACAATCGTGAGACACATCACAAGGATTTTGAGACAAGTGCCCACCCCCGCCGACTCTCTACCAGCTCACTTTGAGGACTCTTCCTCCTGATCCTTCTTTCCAAGGGTGTACGCCAGTCCTCCTGCGATCATATTGACCAAGCAAAGACCCATGGTCGCTCCGCGCACGATACCGCGAGTTCCGAACTTCTTTGTGATGGGCTGTTTCCGTCGGCTCGCGAGTAGCAGGTACAGGCCAGACCATGCTGCGCTGATTCCGGCACTCTCTGTCTTGAACCCTGAAAGGTTTGCATAGCTAGTGAAAAGGAGGACGGGCGGGAAGAGCATAGGGAAGAATTGGTAGGGTCGCGCATGTTGTGCAAAGATGAGGGAAGCAAGGACGGTTGGTGGGAAGGAGTTTTCTGGAGAGAGATAAATCAGTATATTGAGGAAATCTTCGGGTATACCGATTGGAAGCTTCAGATATTTTTCCAACTTACCACCCCAGGCGCGAAAGCGCTGGACCAGCGACTGCTTGGCCTCTTCAATGGTGGAGTCCTTGGACATGGTGAACTTGGTTGGTGGTGTGTGGTTGAAAGGTCCAGTGAACTGCAATATGCCTCGGAGGTTTATGTGATGGGATTCAAAGACCCAGGCCTAGATTTTAGTTTGGCCAGGTGAGTGGAAAGAGGTGGTTGTGCTGGGTGAGAGTGTCGAGCAGAGAGCAGAGAGCAGAGAGCAGAGATAGAGTGGGCAAGTGTATACCGCGGCGCATTGGACGTTCCGGTTGCTTGGCAAAGACACCTAAGACGACGCTTTTCCCTCCGCCACTCCCCACGCCCGCTTTCCATTTCATCGAAACCGGCCTCTCGATTATTTAGGTCGCGTTTACACCTGACCGACTATCCTTGTCGGTTCTATTTGGGGAATTGGAAATCCCCCTAGTCCGCGGTTCCACGCCACCCACCTCCGCCTTTGCGCCTCTCTCCTCCCCTCGTTCTCTCGCCCGCAACGGCCTCACTCCGTGTCTCACTCTCTTTCAACATCGATCGCCATGTCATCTGCCAAGGCGTCAGGATCCGACGCGAATGGCGGCGCGCGATCGCACGAGCATAACCAGGGCAACCAAGACCGCAAGTACACAGTCGAGCAGAAGGCGGCCGTCCTCCGAATTCGAAAATGCGGAGCCACCGATTTCTACGAGATCTTGTCTGTTGAACGGTCGGCGACAGATAGTCAGATAAAGAAGGCATACCGGAAACAGTCTTTGTTGACACATCCCGACAAGAACGGCTACGATGGGTCTGATGAGGCCTTCAAGAGTGAGTGGTTACCCCGACCGAATTGGCCATGTTTGCCTGTCTAACACTTTCTTTGCAGTGGTGTCGCGCGCCTTCCAGATCCTTTCGGACGAAGATAAGAAGTCTCGCTATGACAAGTTTGGAGGGGACCCCGATAGCAGATTCAACCCCGGCCCGAGTGCCTCCAGCGGCGCCTCGCCTTTCAGTGGGTTCAGTGGTGGTGGATTCCCGCGGTCAGGAGGACGCCCAGGTTTTGAGGAAGAAATATCACCAGAAGAGTTGTTCAATCGATTCTTCAGCGGTGGATTTGGAGGAATGGGTGGTGGCGGCTTTGGTACGAAATCCCCAGAATGCGTTGAGCCGTTTGGCTCCATGTTCCAACCGTTTGATACTCTCTTTCGGGATGGTCTACTTTCAAAGGCATCATGATTGCTGTTGTTACTTATATGAAGACTAACTTTGCCCTTCTAGGTGGTCCCGGTTTTGTGTTCAACATGAACGGAGGCCCCGGCTTCCGTGTACACCAATTTGGAGGAGGCGTACCCCGTCGCAGACCTGCTGCCAACGCCGCTGGACAGACACAAGGCAACATGGACGGCTGGACTCTGCTCCGCCAGCTCGCCCCTCTTCTCATTCTCTTCGTTCTCCCTCTTCTCTCCTCGCTCTTTTCCTCCTCACCACCAGCTACACCATCCTACCGATTTGACACCGCGAAACCGCCACACACAATGGGTCGCACCACGCCCAACTTGAACCTTAATTATTTTGTGAATCCGCTGGAAGTGGATGACTTCAGCGCGCGGAGATTCAAGCAACTGGACAAACAAGTCGAGACCGACCACGTGAGAACTCTCCGATTTGAATGCGAGAATGAAGTGAATCAACGGGAACGCAAGATCCAAGACGCCCAGGGCTGGTTCTTCCCGGACATTGAGAAGATGAAGGAGGCTCGAGCGATGGAACTGCCGAATTGTCGACGATTTGAGAAGTTGAGAGGTAGAATCTGAGCCCGCGGGCGGATAATTGAAATTGCATCCACCATTCTGTTTTGCAGCGGAGATGTCAATAGCACATGCGCGATGGGCGGCGTCATTGGTTTTCCTTTTCTTTCCTACATTCCACTTGTGTACATTGTCTCGTTGAAATGCATTGGGTTTCTCTTACGGAGAAACCATCTCATCTCAGTGTTGATCTTGCTTGTGCTGGTGTACTCGTACCCGCGATCTTCCTGATGAAGATGTCAGTCCTATGAGTATTTGATTAATGAGAATAAGAAATATAATATGTCTGGAGTGTATAAATCTACAAATATCGACAAGTTGGTCCTTAATTCAAGCCCAAACATCGTAAGGAAGAAGTATACAAAACTCCTCAAGCGATGCCGAGCCTGCTTAGTCAAAGGCGATGTGAGCGAATCTCGGCGACCACCACCGAATCTCCTTCCCCTCGCATCGTCCCCTCAAACCACTCTCGCTTGGGTTTGATTTTCAGGTCCTCTGCGCCATTTGTTTTGTTCTTCTCCGTATTTGGCGTCGCCCTGTCATTCGTGCCGTCCGTTGTTTCGTCTAATAAATGTGGCGGGTCTAGCACGATCCTCACCTATCTCAAAGCTGCGCCTTTCACACATCCCCGCACCAAGCAGTCGCACCAGCTTGACCTTAACTCTCATTGCGGTGGATCATTTTGATATTCGCTATGTCAGACTCACTCTCCGATGCGGATAAGGTTAGTCGATCCCCAGCTTATCTCACTTTCGACCTCGCTTCCTTCCTGTTTCTCGTTTCTCCGCGGTGGCTGACTTCATGCTCCAGATCCGCAACAAGCGTCTCGCAAAGCTTTCAAATCCCAACCCGGCTCCTGCTTCTGGCGACGGCGCAGCGGACTCGCCGCCGGGCTCCTCTCACGCATCTCCCTCCCACTCTCCGTTGCGGGCAACTCAACCGTCCCCCCCAGTTTCCGAGCGCCTCTTCTTCAGCTGCACAGACACCAAAACATCCAGATGGAAAGCGCATAAAGATCACACCGGCTGTTTCGCCAGCTGCTACTCCGGAACGACCAAGATCTACCGCGCCTTCGAACGCCGGGACTCCCCCGCCCGCCAAAATCGAAACCATTGAAACTTTCGAAGACCGGACCTTAGGAGCTGTCTTCAGGTTGACCCTGAAAGAGGAAGGGCAGTACCAACGGGTTTATCTCCCTGGACTCAGAAGTGAGCTGCAGGATGAGGGCAAGGAGATGCGCATCGAAACAGCTATGCTGGACCAGGCCCTCCTGGAGGCGGCATCAAAAGCAGAGGGCCAAGGCCCACTCAATTATCTCCTACCGTGCTGGAAGCGTATTACGAAGCTTCAGAAGCAATTTAAGCGAACACGAGACGACGACCCGAAATATCAAGTTCTTTGCGAAGCGAGGCGACTATGTATGAGCTACTGCATTTTCGCAATGACTATGCCGGAGATGTTTGGGTATGCATGATTGCCTGGTCACCTTGTGAAACGCTTGAAACTGACATCTTAACTCCTAGCATGGACAATCCGGAACGGTCACCATTGGCGTCGCATTTATTATTGGACCCCGAGGATGACAAGGGCGTGGACTTGGATTTCATAGGCGAGGCTGTTCGGAGATTTGACGAGGACGAGGGCATCAAGCCGGCTTTCATTGCCGCAGTCGAGGAATTGAGCGCGGAGCTCTCTAACAAGGACGTTAATGATGATTACAAGCCATACGCTATTGTTTGTCGAACTCTTCCGTCTCTATCGAGCACTGGCAGCTGACAAAATTTCCAGGCCCTTCGCAACCTCGTCCGCCAACCCGCTATAGCGGCTGCAATTACAGAGTCTTCCATCTTCAACCACTCGACAGACCCAGCCCAATTTGAGAAGGTTACCCTTCTGGGACCCTGGTTCCGCCTCTCACCACTCCAGGGCAAAGTCACCATGTCATACTTCTCCAACCCCAAAAGCCGGGACCAAGCATATATCCTGAACGCACAGCGATCACTCCGAATGACGCAACAGTTACTTAGCTCTGATTTGCTCGATGTTATTAACCACATTATCCGTGCTTCAAAAGAGGCTCGCGAGCGGGTTCTTGATTGGTTCGCGGCTGCTTTGAATATCAATCACAAGCGAAGGGCTATGCAAGTCGATCCGGAGACCGTCTCCTCGGATGGATTTATGTTCAACATCACCACGTGTCTTGATCAGCTCTGCGAGCCATTCATGGATGCAAACTTCACCAAGATCGATCGAATCGATGCCGAGTACCTCCACCGGGACTCAAGGGTAGACATGCGAGAGGAGACCAAGATTAATGCCGATCAGCATGCCTCCGATGCCTTCTATTCCAAGAAGGCAGATGGTACATCTAACTTCATTACCGAAGTCTTTTTCCTAACAGTTGCTGCCCATCACTACGGCAGCGAGTCATTGACCGAGAAACTGGAACAGCTGGAGAAAGACCTTCGTCACATGGAGTCGTCCATCACCAAGTTTGAACTTGAGCGGCATCGGTGGTCAGGCAACCCTGGCCAATTGCGCATGTACGAACAAGCTCTCAAGCGATACAAGGATAAGTTTGATCTTGGACTTGCCTTGAAGTACAGTCTGCAAGGTGTTCTTTTCGACGACCAGTGGCAGGCTCGCTCGATGCTGTTCATGCGGTACGTCGCCGTTTGGTTGCTGAGACTTGTCTCCGGCACCAATTTCCCCAAACAGTCCATCAAGTTGCCGCTCCCCGAGGAACAGCCTGAGATCTTCAAATGCCTCCCGGAGTATTTCCTGGAGGACATCGTCAGCAACTTCAAATTCATCATGTGGTGTATGCCTCAAATCATCACCGCCACTCAGGGAGATGAATTGGTCATTCTTTGCATTACCCTTCTGGAAAGCTCGGCCTACATCAAGAACCCTTACCTCAAGGCTGGTCTTGTCTCAATTATGTTCCGCGGCACCTGGAGTCGCCCTGGTGGTGCCCGGGGTGTGCTGGTGGATCTGCTGAATTCTCTTGGATTTGCCAACGAGTATCTTTTGCATGCCGTGATGAAGTTTTATATTGAGGCTGAGCACACCGGCACACATACACAGTTCTTCGACAAGTTCAATATTCGTTATGAGATTTTCCAGATTATTAAGTGCATCTGGCCTAATCCCCTCTATCGTGAAAAGCTCTCCATTCAGGCCAGCCAGAACCTTGACTTTTTCGTTCAGTTCGTCAACATGCTTCTCAACGATGTGACATACGTGCTTGACGAGTCATTCGGTGCCTTCAAGACCATTCACAGCACCCAGACCGAGCTGAACAGAGATGGTAGCACAATGGACCAAGCTACCCGCCAACAACGAGAGGAACATTTGGCCACCGCGCAACGCAGCGCCAAGTCATACATGCAGTTGACGAACGAGACTGTGGCCATGTTGAAACTATTCACCGAGGCTCTGGCAGATTCATTTACAATGCCTGAAATCGTTCAACGATTGGCCGATATGCTTGATTATAACCTCGACGCCATGGTCGGACCCAAAAGCTCCACACTGCGTGTTGACAACCTCTCAGAATATGGGTTTAACCCCCGAGCACTACTCAGCGAGATTACCGATGTGTATCTCAATCTGATGGCAAAACAGAACTTCATTGTTGCTGTCGCTCGGGACGGCCGATCCTACAAGCCTGCCAATTTCGAAAAGGCGGCCGAGATTATGCGAAAGTGGTCGCTGAAGGGAGAGGATGAGATGCATCGTTGGGGTCAATTACAGCAGAAGGTTCAAGTAGCCAAGGCAGAGGATGACCAGGCAGAGGAAGATCTGGGCGAGATCCCCGACGATTTCCTGGGTAAGTTGGCACCGTATTCACGGTCTGGTGAAAATTTACTAACTTTCTTTAGATCCTCTCATGTATACCCTGATGGAAGACCCAGTTATCCTTCCCAACTCGCGGACATCCATCGATCGTTCTACCATCCGCTCGCATTTGCTCAGTGACCCACACGATCCGTTCAACCGTGTGCCACTAAAGATGGAGGATGTGATACCCGGTAAGATTCACTATTTCTACCCAACTTCATCTACTTTGCGCCCATCTAACATTCTCCAGATACTGAGCTCAAGGCCAAGATCGAAGCCTTCATCAACGAGCGTAGGGGTAAAACCAGGGCTGAGAAAGAAGAGATGGATACGAGAGCGGATTAAAGATTAAGCAGAGCAGCCTGACAGATGGTCGGAAAACCCTCCAATCCACCAATTCAATCTTCCATTTCCCATACGAGTACCAGTACCACTAGAATGCAGCTTGCAGGGATTGTCGAAGTCTTCTCTGCATCTGCCGAAATGCAAGGCCAAAGCTTATCCCTGACCGCCTTCCACATCGGGTCTTTATTGTTACATCACTGGCTCCTTCTCTCGATCCTCCATTAATCAAGTCGTACTCCCCGCCGTATTTCTCCCCCTTGACAATCTTCAACAATATTCTAGCACATCATGGGCACAGCCCTCTCAACTGCCCAGGCCATTCTGCCTGATTCGGCAGAGTTCTACCCCGTCTCCCCAGTGGGTTATCACTTTGCTCTCACGGTCTTTCAATACTTCCCAGTGGTATGTAAATAAAGGCAATCCGAAAATCCAGTTCCCCAGAGCCCTTTACCTAACCCCCTTTTCTAGGTCTGCATCATACAATGGATGACCTCCTGGCACCCAGCAGGCAAAACGTCCATGTCAAGCTCCATTTTCAACATGCCCGGTCGCATCGGATGGTTCCTGATGGAGATTGCCGGTCCCCTCAACTTGATCTACGACCTCAGCATCTCAACATCGCCGTCATTCTCTGAGCTTCCTGTAGCAAATCAGCTTGTTGCGGCACTTTACTGCATTCATTATGCCAACCGCGCTATCATTTCGCCCTTTTTCTCGGCGCCGAGCATGTCGCCCATGCATCTGCTTGTCGTGTCCAGTGCAATCTTGTTCAACTGGTTCAACTCGACTTGTCTAGCTGGCTGGATTCGTGGGCATGAGATTTCCATTCCAGGATTTGTGACTAATGGAGCGGAGACATTTCACTACTCTTCTTCGCCTTCGTGGATGGCGGCGCTGCCTTTCCTCGGAACCGCGCTATTTGCTCTCGGCATGGCTGGCAATATCTACTCCGAGACCTCTCTTTTCCGCATGAGACGATCCGAGGTTGAGCAACGTTCCGCAAAGAAGTCGGACTCCGGCACACCTACTTCTGCAAATGGCGGTAACAAATACAACAAAGTCTACGTGATTCCTCCCACGCAGGGAATCTTCCGCTCCATTCTGTACCCGCATTACGTCTTCGAGTGGCTCGAGTGGACGGGCTTTGCCATTGCCGGCCTGGCGGTTTATCCTCTTTCTGCATCCACCAAGCTTAGCACCGCTGCTGCCACTAGCGTTTCGCCCCCGTTCATGTTAGCCCCTTGGTTGATACCGTTTGCCTCTGTGACGGCTCGACTCGGACTTCCTCTACCTTTGCCGGCGATTGTGTTTCTCGTCAATGCAGTTGCTAACATGCTGCCCCACGCACGGTGGGGACGGAAGTGGTACGTTGAAAAGTTCGGCGAGAAACAGGTTGCTGGAAGAGGAGCTGTTGTGCCCTGGTGTTCTTGGATGTGAGGCATTGCCTTTCATCTCATGGAGTATGGGGTTACCATCTTAGTACGTGGAATCATGGTTCATAGGTTTTTATAACGTCCGAGTCATTTATAGGGTAATTTATCTTGATGCGAAATTAGCGCATTCTACTACATGGAAGCTGCAATTGTAATAGTAATAATCGATGAGATTACTCATTCATGCATTCAAGTTCAACTTTCAATTAGGTCGTAGGGTCAAGATCGTCGCTGATATGATCCAAGGAAGATACAGATATTAAAAGGTCATTATCAGCATAGCGGTAGCAGCCACCAAGGCAGTCATGCTCAAATCTCCTCCAACGCGTGTACCGGGCGAGCCCTTCGCTCCAGGAACACCATCCTTGCCTGATGTAATCTCAACAATGTCATCCGGAGCATCGTCTGTATTCCGCTTTGCCAGTGATATCTGGTCATTTTCAAGGTCAAATACCGAGTAGACCCGGCTAATGAAATTAGATCCCAAGAAGATGCTTCCATCATAGGAATCAGTGAACTTGTTCTCGAGGATCTCAAAATAGCATAAATCAGTGTCGCCGACATCGGCCCAAGGCTCCACTGGTTCAAAACTGCCCCGGCTAATGAACATTTCCAAGTCAAAATCGAAATCTAACTTTCCGAACTTGAAGGTGATGGTTGTATCCTGTGGAACCGTTTTGCAGGAGAAATTGACCTGACCAGATTCATCCGGTACATTGGTCACGCCAATTTGAGCATTCAAGGCCTGCGCCACAGACTTGGGAACAAAGGTGTTAGTGGTGCCAAGACTAAATACAGCATCAAGCGGGAATTCGTCTGAGGCTTCCGAGCTTCCGTTGATTGAGATGCCGTCCATGTTAATACGGAGGGATTTGATGGAGCTATTGCCCATAACAGTATCAAAACTGTAAAGGTCTCCTTCGTATTTGGCCTTGTTGACGCCACCAAACAAGATCGTACCGTTCCAGAGACTGACAGCCGGGGAATTTATAGCACCAGTGTCAACTAGCACTTGAGGTAGAGTGGTGGTGGACGCGTCTCCATATCCAATGCCGATGTTATCTAGTAGAGCCACCCTAGAGTCAATAACGGTCATGATAGTAGATATTGCCCTCGCTGACTTACTTAGAGATGAACCATTCTCAATCCTCGTGTCTAGAACTCCAAACGTCATATTGTCCACTTTGATATCCCCAATGGTTAGAACGTCCGCTACCGCGAGACCCTCTATTGAGGACCCATAGTCAGAATATGTGAATCCTTCGTCAAGCCTTTTGCCAGTGCTTGAATTTCTCAAGTCATATTTTCCTTGATCACAATAAGCACCGTCCCAGCAGTGCCCATCTTGGCCAATGACCCAGAAACCATTGCTCAATGTGTCCAAGTAACCTTCAAATGGCAGGGGTGGAGTTCCAAGGGTAAAATTCAACCTCCATTGATTGAAATCAAGATACGGGGTCTGAAATATATCAGCCTGTACCACTCAGAGGACTTAGAGATCAGATTGAGTCTTAACATACTTTGGCATTGGTGTTAAAGTCGATATCAACAGTATTCGATCGCTTCGAGACCCGCCGCGAAGTATCTCGGCCCTGCACCACAGGCACTGCAAGGACGGCAGGACTGTCTCTTTTTTTCCAAAGCCAGCGCGTTGGTCAAGGCTGCGCCAGCCAAGCCAAGTAGCCAGACCGATCCACTCCGCATGATGATCGACGTGTGGCTGCTGAAATAAGGGTCTGACAAAAAAGCTTAGGAGAGAACGAATACGAAGTGGAAAAGGAATAGAAAACGCTCCTAGATTCCAGCAGACTGGGGACTTATTAAGTTCTCTTCCTGGTCCCGGGTGAAAGAGGCGAACGAACTCATTCTCCGGCTACGGAAGAACTGGGGACCAAAATAGTCTAGTGAGTGGATTAGCGGCAACAGAAGATGCTAGAGGGTCTATACTAAAATTCCCTAGGTGCAGATGGTGGCCCGTTCATGTTTTCGAGCCTCACATTGGGGCCATATGACTGGTTACTCAGCCCGCCCTGGAGCCCTGCCAAGATGCCCTAGTCGACAAGCTCGGGGGCCATTTTTAGCGATGATCCCTGGTTTTCGAGAGGTGCATCTGGATTTCTTTCTCAATGCCGGGCTTCTGAATTAGTATTTTGCATTAGAGCCGTGCTGAAACTTTGCGTCGTTTCATTATCCGATTCAGCCGCTTCTTGAATGTTATCAACGTTGGGAAATTGTTCGCAAGTGCCATCACAATTTCACTATGGTGTATTTGTGTAGCTTTTACCGAGGGCCTACTACCAGGTGTGTTGCTCCTTGTTCCTTTATTATATAAAGAGAGAAAAGAGAATCACCTACCAGGCCAGTTGAAAGGGTTCCTGTTTCAGGGCAGACTTCATTTCCCCTTTGTCGAGGTTGTACCGGAGACCCGCACAGCAGGAATCTTTTTTATAGATTGGGGGCCAAACAGAACTCTCCGAATATCTACTAGTAGTCTAATGAGTCACAAACAATTCCAGTTTGCGGTGGCTATCCACATTTCAATATAAACTCTCTTCTGCTTGCCCATTGACGTGATGAATTTCAGCCTAAGAATGGCAAGAAAATTAATCAGTTGACATTTGATCTTGTTAGGTCATACGAGGAGCCAAAGCAAGCAGCACATTAAAAGCTCATAGTCAGCATGGTAGCTGCAACAAACACAATTATGCCCAGGCCTCCTCCAACGCAAGCACTAGTAGCCCCATTCTTCTTTGCCCCAGTCTTGTTCGTTCCATTACTCTTCGCCCCGGGTACGCCATCCTTTGTGATCTCGATAATATCGGAAGGTAAGTCGTCCCAGTTTCGCTTTGCCAATGATACCTCATCGTTTTGAAGGTCGAAGACTGAGTAGATCAAGCTCATGGAGTTGGTACCCAGGATGATGCCCCTCTCCCCCGAGAGCTCTTTATTCTCAGGCCTGCTTTCCCAGATTGTCAGCCAACATGTATCACCGATATCATCAAATGTCGCATGAGGTGAAGGATCATCGTCAAGGATGGTCACGTTCTTATCATACGCGATGAAGTTGTGGAGATAAAATTCGAAATTCAAGTTCACCGAACCTGAATCCGATGGTTGCTCTCTCGCTGACTGAACTGCAGGTAAAGTTCACTCTTCCCCATTGATCCGGGGAAGATACATTGCCTAGCTGTGACCACAAGGCCTCTACCACTGACTTGGGCACGTATGTCACAAACCAGGAGGTGTCAATATGAGCGTCCAGTGGGAACGTGTCCGAGGCCTGACTGGACCCATTGATCGAGAGGCCATCCATATTGATACGAAAGGCTTTTGAGAGATGGGAGACATCAATGATGGGGGAGGTTTGCAAGGTGCCATTGTATTTTGATCTGTCAACGCCGCCGAACAGGATATTATCGGACCAAAGGCTGAAAGCAGGGGAGTTGATGGCGCCGGCATTGGCTAGTGCTTGAGTCAACGAGGTGGAAGACTTGTTTCCGTAGCCCAGATGCATTGAGACTATCAGAATTGATTGAGATTAGTTATGTGAGTTGACGGTATATGGGTATTTCTTGCGGTCTTGGTTATCTCACTTACTCCAGCCATGGGGCTTCCCTGTGACAATCCCCATTTTCATGTCATTCACCGTAGCACCGCCAATTATCAGAGTGTCAGACACGAAGTCACCTCGATTAATACCTCCGTAATATTCATACGCGTAATTTCCATCAAGCTTCTTAGCAGTGGCTGAAGCGGACTGGTTGTAGCCCCCATATCCACCACAATCGGAACTGTCATCGAATCGCCTGCATTCATCATCATTATTCACACCGTCCAGCTAACAGCCCTTGCCATTGGTTCCCAGATAGGTCTTGAATTGCTGGGCGGAGTGCCAAATGTCAAGTTCACGTTGTAGTCATAAGTCTGTAAATCAGAAGTTAGCCTAGTATTTCAAATGCGGACTGCTGGAGCTACTTTAGAGCGAAAGTCCACGTCACCGAACGCGCTCGAGACACCAGCAGTCTTAGACCGCTTCATGATCTTGCTCAAAGAGTCCTGGTCCCGGACAAACGGCAATGCAATAACCGCCGGCTGGTCCCTCTTTTCCAGAGACAGCGCACTGGACAGGACTGCGGTGCCAGCCAAGCCAAGTAGGCAAGCCGACCTACAGCGCATGGTTATTGACATGTAACTGATGAACCAAGGGCTCGATGGAAAGTCTTATATTGGGATGAAAAGGAGGGGAAGAAGAAGGAAAGGAAAGGACATTGACACAATATTGTGCTCCAGGCTCAGCCTTACGGCCAAATCGGGGACTTGTTCGACCCCCGTGCCACAGAGCAAAGGAGACAAACGGCATCATCGCCGACCTTGCAATATGATGGTGACAACGTTGCCTATGTGCAAACTCTGGCTTATGCATTCTTTCGATCCTCATATTCGGGCTATTTTACTGATCGCTTTATTTCTTAGAACAGATTCGGTAGCAGAAGACCTTCGTCTAATTCTTGTAGAAATTGAGCAGGAAGCATAATGTCACCGAGTTCTGCATCCCAATTCTTGAAAAATGGACTCAGCGTATTAGGCTCTGCATGATCAGCATGCATTACGCTAGCTTGTATTTCATCCGTCTGGTCATGACCTGATACAGCGAGGGGCGTTTGGCTAGCTCGGGTTTGGTCGGTCCCTATTTTCATTGATCAAAATGAGATCAACCATGTTGAGGGGAAGTGTAGGCTGGAAAATGTGGACAAGGAGGAATCTTACCTATATTCATCTCTGACCGGTAGGTTAACCGGATATTATGCAAAGCAAGGCTATAGTCTCTAGCGGACGGATGTACAGAGACCATTCGGTTCAATGTCTCAAGGCATTCGTTCCAGGAATATTCTTGTTGATCTGCACTGATACCCTCGAGGCTTGCTCCGCTTGACTCGGCAAGAAGAAGGACTATACCAGCACTTATCAAATCTAAAATAGTGATAAGCAAGAGGTATCGAACATGAGACAACAGATAATTCTAGGAAATACTCACAAAATACCCCATACCACCATGCACCTGTTGCATCTTCTGTCGTTGCTTCCGATAATGAATGAATGAGGTCACATGCAGCTCGCACACATTTTAAAGCCGCATTTTGTTGGTACATGATTGACCAAGAGTCAGGCTGTATCTGATTGAATTCGGAGCTCACACCTGAACAATAAGCACTAAATGTTGGGCGGTACAATAGTAACTTCAAATGAAGGTATCTGGGGAAATGGCCATCAGTGGGGTGATGATGCTGAATATTCGACAAGCCTACCTAGCGTGTAGAACATTTGATTGGCGACGGAAGGTTCGGTCTGTATTTCGAGGACTTGGCGAGTCCCACGCGAATATGGGGGGGAGTGAAGCTTTGAACTCTTCCAGTAATCTGTCCAGATCCATTATGGCCTTGAAGCCTTCGGGGACCGATGACGACTCTTCTGCTGAACCTTCGTCCTCACTGCGGTAGATTTTCAACAGGACCTTCCAAAGAATTCCGATTAGTCTCATATTCTGATGGAGAAACTGATTAGTCGATATAGTCCCCCTCGGGCTGCTGAGCCTCTTGATCTCTAGCAGCAAGATATTTGTCGTCGACCGGTGAGGGTAGTGGTGTGTGCGAAGAGTTCGGTGTCATGGGTGGACGACCCATTGTCATGCTGGAAATTCTGTGAAAGGAATCAGTCAATGTGAGTCTGTGAAAGTGGAAGCATTCCATACATATCCATTTGGACACATGCGCACCATGCTCGCCACCGGATTTCCTTTTCCAAAACGGTCAAATTGCTGAATTGGCGGCGGCTCTGTAGGCCGAGCCCGACAGCCATTCGATGTGCCATTCCTATTACATTCCAGCATCTCTTCGGATATGGCGTGCATTGCAAATATATTGCGATCAGCAATAGCGCCTGGACATGGGCCAAGCTTCCGCTGTCGAGAATATCAATGTTCATCGAGCTCTTCATTCGTTCGTAAAACATCATGGAAGAATTTCTTTTATGGCAAGGATCCATGTTTGAGAATTCACAAGCAATAGCAAACATAGCGTTCAAAGCGCAATGGAACAATCGAGATGGACAGTTGTGACTGCCGAGACCCACATCCGGAAGAACTCCGTCTGCATCATTCGATTGATTCGTCCATATGTTCTCGTATGAAGCCATAAATGTGTCCTTGTGCACCCAGGGGTAGAATATATGATTATTGGCAAAATACACTTCTAAAAGCCAGTCTGCCAATCTCCTGGGTGGAAGCGAAAAGTCGTCTGATAGCAATACCGTCATATTTGTCGAAGAGGTCACGGTGTTGGCGCCAGCTGAATTGGTTGATGAGGCTAGAAGGCTTGGTATAGAAGATCCACCCTGGGACTGGACTGATTGGCAGCCAGGTGACTTTTGAGCGTATTGGTTGACCAAGGACACTAAAGATGATTGCCCATAGTACTGATCGTGACCCGCTTCTTCGGGCGTACTTGGTAAAGCTGCTCCCATAGCACCGAGAGATATAGGAAGTGGGTTACCAGCCGGGGAGGAGTGTTGTACTCCAAACCCTTGACTTGGAAGGGTGCCACCAGTTTGGGGGCGGGGCGGCGATTCGAGAGGTTCACGAGGAGCTCCCTCGCGCAGATCTGCAACATGGGCACGTAATGAATGGATATAACTAATGCAAGTTAGATTCAGTCAATTACTCAAGACCCGGGATATGCGATTCAAGGGCACCGACGCTCTTTCTGTCTGGTATTTGGCCGTTTCCGCAATCACTAAATACTCGCAAGGCTGATCTGTAGCTCCGCGTCTCTGGCATGCACCACAAACTGGCCTCGCTCCGTCACAACGTACCTTGCGCTCCCGACAATGTTGACACGCTAGTGCGACGCGCCTTCGTTTCGAGGATGGTTCTTTAGTAAGACTGGGCTGTGGATGTGCCTAGATAGCCAATCAGAATAGGGTCAATACATGAGCTCAAAACGCAGAAAGCAAATTCAATCGGCCTTAGGCAGGGATCCGAGTACATTTTCTTCATATGGGTCTGCCATGATCTTCTGAAGATATCCGGACAATAATTGCAGCCGGTGGAGCGGAAGGTTGGTAGCAGAGCACCTCCTACACCCGGGAATGTCCCGGTATTTCAAAGGGTGGCCAGTTGCCCTCGGGAATTACCCGATGCAAGCTCGGACCATGTCGGCAGTTTGGCTGGAGATTTAAGGTTGCGGGGTCGGGATCGGGATCTGACTCGGTATTAGTTCGGATAATACCCGGTTAGCATCCATTGCATTGCACCGCAACAAATCCCGGCCGTAACAAATCCCGGCCGTTTGAGTGGCGGGGAGTAGAGGGCTGATAGGGGAAATAAGCCGCCTCATATTTCTATCTCCACCAAGTCTACCCGCCCGAAAGGTAGATTTCTTTCTCCCTCTTCTTTTCTGTTTCTATTTCCGTCACATATTGTGTCAAACTTAGGGCTAGTACGATGCTATATATTATAGCAAAGGATCAAGTGATACAACTGAACTGAGGAGTAGTATACTTCAGTTCAGTTCTTTTATTTTAATAAATCGTGTAGGCCGAAATCTTAGAATGTGTAACTCTTTGCTCCAACAATCTGACTACAGAAGTTCCAAGGTTCAAGTTCTATGAGACACACGAAAGAGAGTTTCCCACAGCAACACAACCACTACTGATAAGCACTTTTGACTGAATCACACGGCTAAAATCAACGGGCTATAGTAGGCATCCAAGGATCTTTCTTTCTATGTCGAAATACGTGCAAGGAAAAGCCGAATCCTGATAAGCGAAGCCACCAAACATCAACAATACAACTTCCAGCCGACCTCCGACTCGGAGTCCTCGTCTACCTTCATATTTTCATTTACTGGAATTTAGAATCGCAAAGTGAAAATTGCATTTCCCCCGACCCACCATAATTGCAAAAGAGAGCACTAGTATGTGAAGCGAAAGTCCGGATGGCCGTCCCCGAGGTTCTGAACCTCATCGGAGCCGAGTGTCAATCTCTCATCACGGCCTCCCTGGTCTCTAAATTTATTCTCTCTGAATAAAACCAAGAATAGTGTAGCAGATGCAATCACGCATAGCCAAATCAAACCCAAACTTGTGCCGTAACCCGTAGTATAGAATGGTGCCTCGGAAGACAAGAAAATATTGCTAGCAACCAAACCACCACAGTTTCCGAATCCAATTTGCACAGCTGAGGCAATGGCTTGCTTGTAATGTCCGCTCATATTGTTACTTAACCATCCGATGAGAAGAGGCTGAGCAATATAGCCACCACTCGTTATGGCGAAGAGAGCAAAATATCTCACACCAACAGGAACAGATCGCTGTGCGAGTAAGATAACATAGCCTACCGTGGCTATACTGCACCCCACTAGGACAAAGCCAAATCGATGTCTTGTTTTGTCACTAATTAGGGCGATACAGAGCGTCATAATTGCTGCCACGATATAGATTGGAATGCTCATCACTTGTGCCATCAAGGATGTCCATCCCATGTCGCGAATAATTGTTGGCGTGAAGAATGAAGCTGCATATCCCGTGTTTAATGCACCCAAGTACATAATTGTGCTGTTCGTCATAAATTAGACATAAAGAGATCGTCCTTCATAGCAAGCTTCAGATTAACATACCCAAGGTATATTTTCTTATCACTCAATATTCTGCGCATCGCGGTCCGATCTAGTCGGTCCATGCGATAGACTTGCGCGTCAGACTGCAGTCGCCCAAGAAGAATGCTACGCTCTCTTTCATTCAGAAAGCGAGCAGTTTCAGGCCAATCGGCAATCAGAAACTTTGCTATTATCGCAACAACTACAGTCACGATCCCTTCCAGAATGAAGATCCATCTCCAGGAGGAGTAGCCACAGACCCCCTCCATAAAGGATAATCCATAGGCCAATAGCTAGATTGATGCATCAGTTTCAGGTTGTTCCGTATGAGTAGAGTAATTCTCACCCCACTTATGGCCCCTGCTAGAATGCTGGCACTGAAGAAAAGTGTCAATCGCCACTGAAGCTCAAACCGCTTATAGTACAGTGAAATCAAGTAGACGCTGCCTATCACATTGTCAGTAACCGAGCATCGAATTTTAGTGGTACATACACCTACCGGGCAGGAATCCAGCTTCAAATATTCCGATCAAGAATCGGCAGGCCATTAGGGCAGACCAACTCTTCACGAATCCTTGGCCAACAGTCACACACCCTGGAAAGGTCAACATGATCAACTTTATCAAGGATAGCGGGGTGGAGGACTTACCCCACGCCACCATGATTCCACTAATCCACGTGGATGGGGCCAGCTTTTTCATTATCAAATTGCAAGGAACCTCGCAAAGGATATAGGGGATGAAAAAAATAAAAAGCGCGTAGTTGTACTGCCCACCTTTCATGCCAATATCTCTCTCCAGCCCCTGTAACCGTGCATTGCCGATATTGATGCGGTCAAGGAAGGCAAGAAGATATAGAAGCATAAGAATTGGCACAACGCGTAGGTCACATTTCCTGACTACCTTGAGCTCTTCAGCTGCCTCATAGTTGTCTAGAACACCCTCGACCCCTATATTATCATGATGGGAGTGTTCAAGCTCCAACTTATTCTGCACTTTCATATCTGAATCCATGATGATAGCTTCAGATGTCCATAGGCTAAGATTAATAAAGATGAATGAGAGACAATTAGGTAGAAGGGCAACTATTTCCCGTATTTAAGTCATTCGGATCATCGAACATGGATGTCTTGAATTTGAAATGGTGGTAAAACTGGATTTGATTGGCTTCGTTTCGACGGTACCCCAGAATCCTAACCGCGGACTTGGCTTTCACACTCCACGATTAGGATGCGGGGTAAAACTGACGGAGTTCTACTCCCGATTAAACTTTTGACAATTGCCGCGAAGGCTTGCCCTGGTCTATGTCGGCAAAAAGTTCGGGATAATGGCCACCGGGAAATACCCGTGACTAGAATCTCACCAGGTCGGAGTCTTGGCAGGCAGCCTAGGACTATGTCTTTAACTTTCAGATTGGGCAAAGGCCATTGATAATTTATTCAGAAGTGGATTCGCTCCACACCTAAATTGACATTGTGCCAATTGACTCTTATACGAGAGTTTCTTCATAGGATAACAGGTATTTTGGCCGTCGGGAACTAACCGACCCGGAATCCCAGAGGCCGACTCAGACATGAAAGTTTCTTCTGAGATACCACAGGACACTTGACCAATACGCATTAAACAAACTGGAACTCCTGCGATAGGACTGTTAGGGAATAGATACGACTGATGCCCATGATACGAGGTTGACAACTGTAAGATAAGGGCCACATGTACAAAAGCCCATTCTGTGATCTGATCTTTCTCTCTGCATCTCACCGGCAACATGCGTGTCAGCACTCTTATTTTATCTGTACTTGCAACCTGCACCTTTGCCTCAAATGTGATCAAGGTTGATGACGTGCAGTATTATTTTCCCTCTAAGGTTGAGGTATTGAAGCCAATATGTCATTTCAACTCTACTGTACAGGGCTAATATGAAATGGTGTTTAGTTGACGTATAACTTTGACGCCATTGAGCCATTTCCGATCACAGTGATCACTTTACTTGATCAATTCAACATATCTGCTTGGCTTAACAACACTATCTCTGACTTTCTGCTTCGAGATGATGTTTATATTCGGGAATTTTCCACATGTATACCTCCAATCTCTTAAAGTATTGACGCGGCAAACTCGAAACGTTACTAACCGTCCCCGCAGCGTTTTACTTGCAAGGTTTTGAGAGTGCTGGCTTCGATGGTAATACCAAATCCCTACTTGAGACCTTTGGGGCCAACAACATCTTTTGGGCCTCTCCACAAAACGGTTCATTACTTCCTGATGGTCCGTATTTTGCCACTGTCTCTGGGCTGCACCAAGCCTGGCGACTTTACGACGACCAAACAAACTCTTTCGTATTGCCGACCGTACCGTCTGTTGATAATATTAATGCATATGAGGTGCTCCCTGTCAAAGATACGAACCCACTTGGCTCTCTATCTATCGCAGTGCCATCTAGACTTTATTATAAGCCTACGCCTGAACAGCCTCTTGCTGGCTACCGTGTCGCTGTGAAGGATCAGTATGCCATCAAGGGGCTCATCACAACATTTGGAAGTCGGTCATACGCAATGACGTATCCGCCTTCCAACGTCACTTCCGCGGTGATTCAGAATCTTATAGATCTGGGCGCCATAATCGTGGGCAAAACGAAGCTGTCTCTTTTCGCCAATCCACTATTCACCGCCGCGCAGTGGCCCGATTACTCTTTGCCATTCGTATGTCCCCTCTCAACCCCCATATTGTCGACCACTTTCGCTTACCGAGAAAGAACCCCCGCGGCGACTCCTATCTCATTCCTGGGGCTTCTTCTGCTGGCTCAGGTGCTGCCATGGCTGCGTACGATTGGCTTGACTATAGTATTGGAGAGGATACAGGAGGTTGTGAGTCGAGCTAGGATTTATCTCCCCCTCTCGGACTTTCACTCACGCTATCAATTATTTCTGACTAGCCATGCGCTTCCCTGCCGCCCTGAACGGTATCTACGGTATCCGTTCCACCAAGAATAGCACCAATAATACTGCCACACATTTTGGACCATTTGATGTCGCCGGCCATTTTGCTCGTGATGTCGACACCTTCAATTATCTCGGGGGTGTTATGTACCCTGATCCCGGAATCAAGAACTACACCAAGTTCCCTAAGAGGATCCTATTCCCTCAGGAGTACTGGGAAAATATTAATCCCGACTACGCTAGAGCCTGCAACGACTACGTCAAGCAATTGGAAATATTTCTTGGAGTAAAACGTACTGTTATTGACACAAACTATCTTTGGCAACGACACTCCAAGCAAAATACGAGCTTGGTTGATTATTTTGCGAACGTAAGTCTGCAGAATCCGATCGTATCATTATCAGGATTTGAAATCGATATACTGTCCCCTATCAGATATCTAACTCAGTCTCATTCAGCTCATTCCCTATGTCTCTGGAAGCAATGATTTTATGGTGAATTTCAGGAAGGACTACTTCGAGAAATTCGGAAGCTTCCCGTACGTTGCAGTGGACAAGCCGAGCAGCTCCTCTTTAGAACCCCAAAACGCCACATTGGGGCAAATGGGTTTTTCTCTGCAGGCCGAATTCCAAAATTTCTACCGCGGGTCTGTCTTGGTGCCGGACAAGGAAACATGCTCTGAGGCTATCGTAGTGTTTCCCTTCAATGGCAATGGTGGCGTTCCATGGTATCGGGATACAAATATTTCATATTCCCAAAATGGCTACGCTCCGGCATTACCTGGTTATATCAGCTGGAATCTTCTCTCGGTCATGAATGAAAGTCCAGAGTTGACCGTGCCTGTTGGGCCTATCAGATACCAGAGCAAGATTTCCCTGGTGGAAGAAGAGTATCCGGCCGCATTGGAGATTCAAGGTGCGAGTGGCTGTGACATGATGCTTATGAACCTGGTCCGCGAAGTTGCCTACGCCTGGGGCTACCGAAAACTGTCAAAACAGGAAGCAAGATGTATTAGCTAATCTTTGGGAATGTTGGCGATTGCTTGACTCTCTGAAATTAACCGAATGAGAACCTTGGAATCTTTATGCTACTTCATGCTGGACTCAATAGTCTATAGTCTAGCTAAAAGAAGAAGCGACTAAAGAAATACATATATCAATATTGGAGAATAAACTCATCCTCCTAAACAATTCCGAAACAATACTAGTATTTTACCGTTCAAAAATCATCGAGACCTTGAATGACTGCCATGATGCATGGCCCCGTAGTGTCGTCGGTCCTTTCAATGAGAGGATTATGTCGGGCAATAGCTCCATGTAATTGTTTGGACTTCAAATTATTGATTTATCTAGAATATCTGCAAGATAAAGACCTGATGTCGCAAGTGACCTAACATGAAATGTTCCGATACTAACATACATTAAGGATCAAACACCTTTCCAGGGTTCATCAACCAATAGGGGTCCAATGACTGCTTTATCGCCCTCATCACAGAAAGGGATTCTTCGCCTACTTCCTGCGCCATAAACTCCTTCTTTCCAAGGCCAATGCCATGTTCGCCCTGTGGATATACACAGGTTAGTACATTCTTCGCAGTATTCAGGGGGAATAAAAGCTGTCCCATTAGAAGACTAACCGTGCAGGTCCCCTCCATTTCGATGGCTCGGTGAACCATATCGTGAACACACTTGGCAACTGACTTATATTCCTTTTTACCATCGTATAGAATTGTCTCATGGAAGTTACCGTCCCCGATATGTCCGAGCATACTGCCGAAAAGCCCTAGCTTGTCGAGGTCTTTCTTTGAAACCTCTAATCCTGATGTTAGATTCTGCCTACAGCAGGTCGTGAATGGAATAAGCATAACTGACCAACAAGATCCGAAACTTTGGATAATGGAACCGCGACGTCTGTAGACCAAACCTCATGGCCGGACTTTCTGAGACAGAGCATACTCCACAGTGCTTGCTTGCGAGCGAACCAAAGCGCTTCTTGCTTTGAAGTATCCTTTTCGACTTCCAAGTCGGACCCATGATTTGCATGCACAATGTGACTCACGCCATCAATGTTATCCTGTACGCCTACCTTGGTGCCACTGAACTTGAAAAAAAGAGTGGGTTTCGCTTTCCATTCCCTCCCAGTATCGCCCATTCGATTGATAACATCCATCTGCACGTCATCAAGAAGTTCGACGGCCCCGACGGGGATTCCCTCGCGCACAACCTGAATAGCAGCGTTCGCTGCATCTCTCATGGTTGGAAATGATGTGACGGCAACTCCAGTCTCTTCTGGAATTCGTGCTAGCTTCAAGGTTGCTTCTGTCACGAAACCCAGAGTCCCCTCGGCACCGGTGAAGAGGCCATTCAGGTTATAGCCCGCTGATGACTTCCTGCCATTGAATCAACATTAGATAAATACTTCAACGCAAATAAAACTTACCGGGGTCTCTGTCGTGTCTTAAGGATACGTCCGTCCGGTAAAACAATGGTCATATTAATTACCCAATCCTTCATGGTACCGTAACGCACAGCGTTTGTGCCACTTGCATGGATGTTAGCTGAGAAGACAGACCAGAAACATGAATATAGGAAACCAGATGATCTTACCTGCAGTTTGTGGCGATCATACCACCTATTTTTGCCTGTTGGGATAAATTTAGCAAAAGATCTTATGCTCCTGGCTGCTTGAACAATTTCTCAAGAGGTGGCTCACAGGAGGGCCCGGGTCAATGGGGAAAAACAGCCCGCTTTCTTTGATTTTTTCATTCATATCCATCCACGACACTGAGGGTTGAACAACAATATCCATGCTGTTAAATGTGAGCGGTTCTGTATAGACTTTGCTCACTGGTGCTGCGGGTAGGCATACTCTTCCGGGTGAAACTCCACAATATCGCACATGTTCATAAAATCAACACTAATCCCACCAAAAGCGGCCGAAAAATGGCCTTCCACGCTCGATCCACCGGAATAAGGAACTGATATTACCGTTATAATGAGGTACTTTAACAATCAGGGATTTCAAGGGTATTCACTCATTGGAACTTTGTACTTGGAGCAGATTCTCGCAATCTTGGCGACCTGCTCGGTGCTGTTAGGGAAGGCAACTGCTGTAGGAAGCTGGTCAATGTTGATTGAGGACCACTCGGAAAATCCATGTTGTCTCAGATCATCATCATCGGTGCTGATTCCTTCTTCTCCAAGTTCTTTTCGGATTTCCAAAATTGCCTAAGAGCAGTATCAGTACGATGTCAGCCTGCTAACAATATCGCATCTAATTACCTTGCCCAAATCTTCCTTTGACGCATATACGTATCTCGGTTTCTTTTGTTCATTTTTTCGATGCTGCTCGTGCTCCGCATCCACGATGGGCACTTGCCCACGAAGGTTGAAAATCAAAAGCCCGGTGATGAGTGATCCTCCTGCAGCCGCCAGCATGGATCTTGTCCATGATTTGTCGCCAGAAAATCTTGGACCACGTTTTGTATCTTTTACGGTAGAAAATTGACTTCTTCCTATTGGAGAACTCCAAAGTACCCTTTGCCGGAACGTATGCGATCCTGATGTGGCCGGGAAACGGTATCGAGCTGGGACAGCTCGAAATGGTCGCAACATCTTGAAGACGCGAAATTCGATGTCGAATGCGCTCACTCAGTGAACAGGCTCATGAATTACTATTTAATTGAACACCAGATAGCCTTTGTGCCCAAGTGGATATAACCTCCTAGTAGTAGTAGCAACTGGTAGCTCTGCGCATTCGGGTATATTCCGAATTTACCGCCAGTATGCATTTTCCAATTCTGTGAATGGAGCATAGCCGATTACCCGGTCCCCGTTGCATTTAGCGTTGTCTGGCAAGAAATGCAGGTACACTGGTATGCCAGTCGACGACATAGTGAGATTACGGCATTGGTTTGTGTTTGACTTCGCGGCAGTCAATTATCACGTTCGGGAATTACCCGAGTGGAGCATCACCGAAAGGCAAAATGCATCGACTTCGCTACGCGATCAGGTATAAAGATAATCACGGGTAAACCCAGAGATATGACTTAGGCAACCTGAGCAAATAGAAATTCGGCAAGTTCTATTATCAAAAAAGACAAAATGTGAGTTTGACATTTCCCCAAAATTAACCAGAATCTTTGCTGAGAATGGATAAAGGTACACAGCGTCATATGCCTTCTTTGAGGCATTATGGGAGTTTGGGGTGCGCAACTGTTTCGTAAATCTGGGCTCGGACCATCCTAGTATCATGGAAGCCATGGCGAAAGGATACAAGGAGAAGCCAGACTCATTTCCCAAGATTTACACTTGCCCGAACGAGATGGTCGCTTTGTCCATGGCGGATGGATACGCCCGCGTGACCAACCAACCTCAATGTGTTATAATCCATGTCGATGTTGGCACATCTGGGCTGGGAGCTGCTATTCATAATGCTTCGACTGGACGCGCGCCTGTGCTGATCTTCGCTGGATTGTCACCTTTTACACTAGAGGGCGAAATGCGAGGATCTCGAACGGAGTACATGTAAGTCTCCTCTGGATACGAGGCGTGTCAAAAATTGTCTCAAGCTGAGATTTTTCCAGTCATTGGTTGCAAGATGTCCCGGACCAGAAGCAGATCGTTGCTCAGTATTGCCGCTACGTGGGAGAGATCAAAACAGGCAAAAATATCAAACAAATCGTCGGCCGAGCCTTGCAATTTGCCACGAGTGATCCAAAGGGACCAGTATACCTTATGGGCGCACGGGAGGTGATGGAAGAGGAAATCACGCCTTACCAAGTCCCCATCGTATCCTGGGGTCCTTGCGGACCAGCCGCACTCCCCGAGGCCGATGTTCGTTACATTGCGAAGGCGCTGGTAAGTGCAAAAGAGCCGCTTCTCATCACAGGATATAGTGGTCGGAATCATGATGCTGTCAACGCATTGACTGAATTAGCAAATACAGTCAAGGGCCTACGTGTCTTGGACACTGGCGCCTGTGATATGTGTTTTCCTGCTGACCATCCAGGTTGGCTCGGTATGCGATATGGATCGGATCCAAGCATTCAAACGGCCGATCTCATCCTCGTGGTTGATTGTGATGTTCCCTGGATACCGACTCAGTGCCGTCCCAAGGAATCAGCGCATATAATTCATATTGATATTGACCCATTGAAGAAGCTCATGCCGCTGTTTTACCTCCCTACCATGCGGCGGTATGCAGCGGATTCATTCACCGCGCTCTCGCAAATTTTGACATATATCAACTCTACATCTGACCTCCAAAGCACCCTGAGCTCGCCCGCTTACGACGAAAGGTGGAACTCGCTCCAGGCTCAGCATCAAGAGCTGTTGTCCGAGCTTGATAAGCGATGTGAGCCTGTCCCAGATTCCTCCTCATTCAACACGTCATATCTATGTCGAGTACTCAAGGCCCTTGTGCCTAGTGACACTATTTATGCAATTGAGGCCGTCACCAATTCGGTGCTTGTGGCCGATCAAATCCGGCCTACCAAGCCCGGTCAATGGATCAATTGCGGTGGAGGTGGCTTGGGATGGAGTGGTGGTGGAGCCCTAGGAATCAAACTGGCTGTTGATACTCTCAGCAGCGCGGACAAATCCTCATCCAAGGCGAAGCCCATGGTAGTTCAAATTGTGGGTGATGGGACGTTCCTCTTTAGTGTTCCATCCAGTGTCTACTGGATCTCGCATCGGTACCAGATCCCAATTCTCACAATCGTTCTCAACAACAAAGGTAAGTTCCCTCCGTGGTACAATAATCGAAGTGGAAGTCTAACTAACCATAATGTCTTCACAGGTTGGAATGCGCCTCGGCGGTCCATGCTCCTTGTTCATCCAGACGGTCTCGGCTCCAAGGTGAGCAATGGAGAATTGAACATCTCTTTTGACCCGAGCCCAGACTATTCAGGTATCGCGAGGGCCGCCAGTGATGGGAACATACATGCAGCTCGAGTTAGTGACCGAGACAAATTACAATCGGTCCTGGAGGAGGCTATTGAGGTTGTTCAGAATGGAACTTCGGCGGTTATTGACGTACATGTTGTTTAATACGAAGGCGGCTCTTCTGATAAATACACGAATATCCCTGAACATCGATGTGTAACTATAAACAGAACCAAGTGGCCAGGATTTGGTCCATAACCTTGGAAGCGGAGTGTATAGATTGGGGATCAACCTTGAAGAGAAACAAAGAAGATGGAAATGCGGGGGCCCGCAGTGAATAACAGAAATGCCAGTGCCACATCATACACATCCCAGCCGCACCTTCAACTCCTCACTTCTCCCTCCGATAATCCACCTGCCACTGCCATTATTAGGGTAAGCGGAGACTCCGTCTGGAAAAGTAGGTTGCAAGGCGGGAATTTTCAACTACGATTTACTGTTTACATGTGGAAGAAAATTATTAATGTAGCATAAAGCTCGAAATAATATTCACAGCTGATTCTACAGTAGAACAAAGTTCTCATTCTCCAGGTCCAAGTGATAGCAACTGCTTCACAAGGACGAGAGAATCAAATTGTTGAAAGATTCGGCACCTAATAGGCGGCACCCATGTTGAAATCGTTAGTTATGTTGAAACTCCGTAAACCCGCTTTTGGTGCCCTCTAATCCGCAAAACCCGTTTGAAACCGAATGTTGAACTTTTGGTATCATCTTCGTAATCGTCATAAAACAAAACTTCCCGTGCCAGGGGCGGCGGGTTGAAATATGCCGCCCCATCCAATTAACACATTATGGGAAATGAAACAAGGAAAAATGGTTTGTACTGCTCAGATTTACTGGGCGTACTTCTGACGGTAGAACTTGGCGGCAGCCACCAGCGACTTCAGTTGGCCGATGGTCTGAGCCTCGGTTCTGGTCTTCAGGCCACAGTCAGGGTTGATCCAGAGCTGCTCGGGCTTGAGGAACTGGAGCATCTGCTCAATACGCTCCTTGATCTCCTCCTCAGTAGGGATACGGGGGGAGTGGATATCGTAGACACCAGGGCCGATGTGAGCGTCGAAGCTCTGGTCAAGGAAGACCTTGAGCAGCTTAGCATCGGACTTGCTGTTCTCGATGGACAGAACGTCGGTGTCGAGGGCAGCAATGGCGTGGAAGAAGTCCTGGAACTCGGAGTAGCAGAAGTGAGAGTGGATCTGGATGTTGTCCTCAACACCCGCAGTGGCCAGCTTGAATGCATTCACAGCCCACTTAATGTAAGCCTCACGAGCAGGGCCAGTGCGCAAAGGAAGACCCTCACGAAGGGCAGGCTCGTCGACCTGAATAACCTTAACACCGGCCTTAGCGAGATCGATAACCTCATCACGCAGGGCCAGAGCAAGCTGCTGAGCCTGGACGCTCTGGTGGACATCGTCACGGGGGAAAGACCACCGAAGGCAGGTGATAGGACCAGTGAGCATACCCTTCATGGGCTTCTTGGTGAGAGAGACAGCATAGGCACTCTCCTTGACAGTCATGGGAGCCGGGCGGCTGATGTCACCGACAACGATAGGAGGTCTCACGCAGCGGGAGCCGTAGCTCTGAACCCAGGCGTGGGTGGTAAAGACATAGCCGTCAAGTCTCTCTCCGAAATATTGAACCATGTCGTTACGTTCGGGCTCACCGTGGACCAGGACGTCCAGGTCAAGGTCCTCCTGGAGCTTGACAACGTGCTCGATCTCCTTCTCGATGAACTTCTCGTACTCCTGAGCAGTGATCTCACCCTTGGTGAACTTGTTGCGCTGGATACGGATCTCCTGGGTCTGGGGGAAAGAACCAATGGTGGTGGTGGGGAAGAGAGGGAGCTTGATGTCCTTGGTCTGGAGAGCAATGCGGGTAGCAAAGTCAGACTTGCGGTTGTGGTCAGCCTCGGTGACAGCAGCCTGTCTAGCCTTGACACCCGGGTTGTTTGTGCGGGTAGATGTGGCGCGGCTCTTCATGGCAGCGGCGTTGGATTCCAATTCAGCAGCAACGGACGCAGGGCCCTCAGTGACAGCCTTGGCGATGACAACAACTTCCTTGACCTTCTCGCTAGCGAAGCTGAACCAGTCACGGACCTCGGGGTCAAGCTTCTTCTCGCTCTCCAGGGTGTGTGGGGTGTGCAGCAGACTAGAGGAGGTTGCAATTCTGACTCTTTCGGCCGACAGCTTGGAAATCGCAGTCTTAACGAGCTCGATGCTAGCGCTAAGGTTGTTCTTCCAAATATTTCTGCCATCTAAAATGAGATTCGATTAGTACCTTGTAATCTCTAACAAAGGAATAGTCAATCTTACCAACAACACCGGCGGACAGAGTCTGGTTAGGGCCCAGGGCAGCGATAACGGCGTCGAGCTGCTCGGGGTTGCGGACAAGGTCGACGTGGATAGCATCGACATTCTGGACATCCTTCAGAACCTGAATGTTGTGGACAATGTCTCCGAAGTAGGTGGCCAGGGTGATCTTGGGGGCCTTGGCGCCGAGGTTGCCCAGAACATCGTAGGCGGGCTTGAAAGCAGCCTTGACCTTCTGAGACACATCCAGAACAAGAACAGGCTCGTCCACTTGGATCGTCTCCGCACCGGCAGCCTTGAGCTGAGCCAGGAGGTCGACGTAGAGGGGCAGAAGAGCGGGGAGCAGGTCAATGGGGTCAACGTTCTGGCCACGGTCGGCCTTGGCGAGAGCCAGGAAGGTAACGGGACCGACAACGACGGGAGTGGTCTTGATACCAAGGGCAAGGGCCTCCTTGAACTCAGCAACGGGCTTGGGGTTGGCGTTCAGCTTGAACTGCTGGTTCTCCTGGACAGCGGGCTTGACAATGTGGTAGTTGGAGTCAAACCACTTAACCATCTCCAGAGCGGGGACATCGACACCATCCTTCTGGTGACCACGGCCCATGGCGAAGTACTCATCGAGAGGGTCCAGCTTGTGCTGGCTGTAACGCTGGGGGATGACGCCAAAGAGCTGGGAGTGGTCGAGGAACTGATCGTAGAAGGCAAAGTCGTTGGAGGGGATGGAATCAACACCAGCAGCCTGCTGGATCTTCCAGTGCTCAGCACGGAGACGCTTACCCTCAGCGAGGAGGTCATCGCGGGAGATCTTGCCACCCCAGTAAGCTTCAGTGGCCTTCTTCAGGTCACGAAGTCTACCCATACGGGGGAAACCGAGAACAGCGCTAGAAAGAGGTCAGTCATACAGAATTCCATGGAAGATGGGAATGGGGGGGATTCGGATGATAAACATACGATTGAACCATTCTGACGGATGTGTGTGAAGTTGAAGGGGAGAAAGAAAGGAATAGGCGGGGTCTTTATAAGGAAGAAGATAGAAAAACCCAATGCCTCTTGAAGAGAAGAAGAGGAAGAAGGAAGAAGGGGGGAAAGAAGAGGGTGAAGTAGGAAGAAAAATGGAGGGGGAAGCAAGAGGGACTAACCCCAACGGGATAGAGGGGCAGCTGTGGTCTTCCGTACGGAGTGTATTGGGCTGTACAGACCGGGGATCACTTGCGCCAGCATGGACCAGCATTGACCAGCATTGACCAGCATTGACTAGCACTGGAGAAAAAGAGTGGGGGATGTGCTGGAGTGTACCCAGAGAATAGCCAGCAAAGAGCGGTATGGCCGGTGCACGGGGTAGTACAGATACCGGTACAATACCAGGGATTACCAGTGAATTGGCAATAAATTACAATTAATTACACCCCACCAGACAGCCCGCCGATCACGGAGTCGGATCACGCCATTCGAAGACGATAAGCGATAAACAGTAAGGTACTGAGGGTGGAATACTGTTAGAATCTTCTTAGAATATGCCTAGTACAGTATGTGCACAAAGTTGGTTAGGATTGAGTTGCTTACTACGAACTCAACTGGCTCGTACCTAGAGACTGCCATCTCTACGCACGTCAGCGTGGCCCAGAATGACCTCTGAGCCCGCTTTTGCATGGCGTATGCAGCCTGTGCCCGTCCCCTCTCCGCCTCGGGCTTTGAACCACCTAAACATGCACGCCGATCCCACCAATTGATCCATCACTTCCCTAGGAGATACCAGCCGCTGGCTGTCAGGCTTTGAAAATATGCTCTAACTGAATTTTAGGGCCTTGTACTCCGTATCTATACAGAGGCTTGCAGGAGAAATCCACTAGCGGTCAGTTTGGATGCCATGTCAATCTATCCAATCTACCCTAAGTAAACTTTTACTACACAAGTGGCGAAAGAACATTGGGCTTGATGGACCCCCCCCCCCTGTGCCCCGCAATCAGAACCCCTCAGAAGCTTCTGGGACTTGTTGTACGAGTACTGTAGTCAAATGGCAAATGGACTGAACATAATCGATGCTAATAGGCTAGTCATAAAATCTCGTCAAGATGTCCGAATCTATCGTACTGTACATTTTTATTCCGCAACACCACGGCGCTTCAGGTCCTGAAGATTGGGGACTTCTTGGTCGCCAGGGCGACGCTCAGACTCGATCTTGACGCTATCCTCGGGGCCACCCTTGCCCTGGAAGTCCTTGGCTTGGGGAAGTCTAGACAAATAATAGTGAGTCTCCATCCAGCATATTGTACAAAGAACGCGAGTATCCGAAGAATCGAATGGGCAGAAAAACTCACCTGCCACGGTCATCACGGGTACCGCCCTCATCTTCGGGGATCTTTCGGTGGTCGCTACCAGAAGCGGTGGCGCCAGGTCCATACTTGACACCTCCAGCTTCGGGGAAGCGCTTCTCAACTAACTCATTGACGCCAGACTCTTGGGCTACCAGATTGTTAGCATCCATTGAGTCTCATTCGACTAGAAAGACTGGTATTGGGACATACCTGAATCACTCTTGGGGCCAAGGCCCTGCTTAGCCTGGTAGGAGTTGAGGTCTTTCTCGGCCTCATGGGCGATGCGGAGGTTGTCTTCGGTGGAGGTAGACATAATTTGAGCTTTAGGAATGGTAGAGTGAACTCGAAAGGGTTTGAATAATGATCTGATGCTTGTCTCAGCCAGACTTGGAGGTAAGACCTTGAAATATATAATCAGCAGCTCTATCTTCTGATATCATCCAAGTATCAATATTCAGGCTGATAATTTGGATAGAGCTACAAGTTTCTATCATGAATATACATCATATGCATGTAATTCTCTTTTAAGAGAACCCGCCAATGAGAAGGATGCGATCATGACCTCAAAATCTTGTTCAATCAAAGTTGGCAGCTATGATGTATACGATTGCTTGCGTTCCATGCTTGGCTCCTTGATTGGGTGATCAGGTTAGATCGTACCCATCAGGCTCGACTGGGCTACCCTATGTACTTCCTCCCGCTAGTTTCTTTAGTCAATATTAGAAGAGATATTTGCGCAGAGCCTCTTCAGTGGAGCGGAGCCTGTTAGATACCAGGAAATTGAGCAGGGAACTTTCATTGATGATAGGCGTGACTTCATTGGCTCCACTCAAATGCCCTAACTTACAGATTCCCAATTTGGCCACTTTGTAGGGTCCAGCCCTAGGGCTCGGGGGATGGCCGGAATAACGATGCCCCGCAATGAGGGGAGCTGAAGCGGCGGGATGGATGAAGGCATCTGTTGACAATCGCGACGCGTCTCGTTGCTGTTATCGATCGAATCTGCCGAGGTCCCATAGCTAAAAGCTTGATAATCCTCGTTGAATCCGACATCCTGGTGCAGGGCCGAGCACCTAAAGTGATTCCAGGAAATATCCCTTCGCCATGGTCAAAACAGTCTCGATCGAGGTACCTGGGGAGTCCAACCCATTGAGCCTACAGAATGTCGTGAACTCTTTGGTTTTGGCCGCAAGCTCGAGTCAGCAGCAGGTCCAGACAGGGACCAAGCAGCTGCAGAATTGGGAGCGGATCCCCGCATACCATGCCTTTCTCCAGGTCGGTGGAACATACTTTGGAACATGCCATATACAGAGCTGATATTTGATATACGACAGGATGTATTTTTGGACCATTCCGCCCCTAACGAAGTTCGATATCTCTCCATCATTCAACTAAAGAACGGAATCGACAAGTACTGGCGCAGAACGGCGGCGAAGTATGTTTCAGAACAACCGGAGGGCGATGCCAACGCTGACTCGAACAACAGTGCAATTGAGCCGGACGAAAAGCAGAAGATCAAGACGAGAGCTCTGGATGCTGGCATTGTTGAGCCATCCCGCCCGCTCGCTCTTCAGAATGCGTTGATGATCGCCAAGATCATGCGTTATGAGTTTCCGCAAGATTGGTATGGTCTATCTCTACGATCGCAATGTACTGCCCCTCGATTATTAGCTCACATCTACTTCGTAGGCCTGATGCGATGAATGCTATCATCAACTCCCTCCGTAACGGATCCCAACCCGGCGCGAGTCCTCTCCAGCTTCCCCGAACTCTCCTCATCCTCCTGCAAGTCATCAAAGAGCTATCAACTGCCCGAATCCAGAGAACCCGAACCCACCTCGCATCCGTTACACCTGAGATATTTCAAGTCGTGGGAAAAATCTACATGGACAAAGTGAATCAATGGGCAGGAATTCTGGAGCACGGAGGATCGGATGAGGGGGCGCTTTTAGAGATCACCAAACAGAGTCTCATTTCCCTGAAGGTCCTTCGTCGCCTAATGATCTCGGGATTTGAGCACCCCGGTCGCGATCAAGACGTGCAACACTTTTGGGAGGTGACAAACGAGCATCTGTCCAAATTCTTGGCGTTTGTTGACCATCCGGGTCGATTGCCCGAGTCAGTTCATACCATGGTTGAGAAGCACGTCCTGCAACTATCGAAACTCCACGTGGAGATGGCAAGGAATAAGCCTGCATCCTTCGCTTTGTTCTCTAACTCAATAGCTCTTGTCAATGCCTACTGGGCGTTTGTTGTCAAGTTAAGCCCGAACTATGTCAACCTTGGATCTGATGCTGAAGCTGACGGGCAGTCACTACCCGAAAAAACTGCCTTGCGGGCTCTCCTTTTGATCCGGGCGTGTTCCAAGATGGCCTTCAACCCAGCTCAAACTTTCAAATACCAGACCCCGGAAGATAAGGCAGAGCGAAAAGACTCCGTGGACAAAATCAAGTCTCAGCTCTTCACCCAGGAGTTCGTGGTCAGCGTCATGGAGCTCATTGTTACTCACTTGTTCCGCCTCAGAAACGTCGATTTCCAAGAATGGGAAGAAGACCCGGAATCCTGGGAGAAGCGGGAAGTGGATGCCGACGCCTGGGAGTATTCCGTCCACTCTTGCTCAGAGAAGCTCTTCCTTGACCTCGTCACTCATTTCAAAGACTGGCTCATTAGCCCTCTATTGAACGTGTTCCAATCATTTGCCAGTGAGTATTCGGTTAGCAAACATATTACGTGAGGTATACTGATCAAGTCTCCAGCTACCGAGAATAAGAACGTTATGCTGAAGGAATCGTTGTATTCTGCCATCGGCTTGGCAGCTGCCAGTCTAGAACAACATTTAGACATCAATGCGTTCCTCCAAAACACCATGATTCCCGAAGTCCAGATCCAAGAGCAGGAATATCGACTTCTTAGAAGACGGATAGCTCTAGTCCTTGGCCAATGGGTTCCCATCAAGTTCGCCGATATGAACATGGAGTCTGTCTACCAGATATTTCAACACTTGCTCAACAAAGATGATCCCTTGAATGACCTGGTCGTCCGCATCACTGCAGGACGTCAGCTATGCAACATCCTTGATACATTCGATTTCAAGGTTGAGACATTCCTGCCGTTTGCCCAGCCAATTCTCGCGAGTCTCATGTCGCTCATGCAGGAGGTCGAATTATCTGATACGAAGATGGCATTGCTGGAATCGGTGCGGGTCATCGTCGTCAAAATGGAACAACATGTAAGCTGCTTCCCATATACAACTTTAGACACCACTAACATCACTCGGTCTAGGTTGTGATGCTATCCGATAGTATTCTCTCTCCCCTCCCGCAGGAATGGGAGAAGTCCGGCGAAGAACATCTCTTGAAACAGGCGATTCTCACTCTCCTCACATCTCTCATCCATTCGATGAACCAAGAATCCGTGCGATACCACCCGATGATTCTTCCTCTTATACAAAGCTCCATTGATACAGGTTCTGTAAGTGCCTACGTTTTTACAAGATCAAAAGTTGTTAGATTCGATCCTAACACTTCCAACTACAGGAAACCTATATATACCTAATGGATGAAGCATTAGAGCTCTGGGCAGCCGTAATGATGCAAACGCCGTCGCCGCCTTCTCCCGAGATTCTCTCGCTCTTCCCTGCCCTCTTTCCGATCCTGGAAGATGGCGCAGACAGCGTGGCTCAAGCTCTCGAAATTGTGGAATCCTACGTCCTGCTTTCACCGCAAACTCTCCTCAGCGACGACATCCGCTCGAAGCTTTTATACTGTCTTCATGGCCTTCTCGAGCCCATGACAAAACAGCGATCTGGCGTTATACCCCGTCTTGTCGAAAGACTTATTCGTGGCGTGGAGACAGTTGACGGTGGAAGCGAGACCGCCTATAATGCTATCGCCCAGTCTCTCCTCGAAACAAACATGCTTCAATCCCTCCTTAAAGGTCTATACAGTGCCCACGAAGCTAGCCAGACCACTGGACCTAACAGGAAGAGGTCCGATGTGGATGGCAAGGTCGAAACGGAATACTTCTCCGCTATTGCTCGTCTTGCTCTCGCTAACCCTACGCTATTTGCATCCGCCGCAACGGCTGCTACCTACCAGGCCGAGGAGGAATTATTCACCTGGCTCCTTACAGAGTGGTTCTTCCACTACGACAATATCGCATCCGCCAGCCAAAAGAAGCTCCACGTCCTCGCCTTGACCCAACTCCTTGCCCTGAAGGGCCCCGATTCTGCCCGCCCCCTTTCATCCTAAAGTTCTTACAAGACTATCTCACCGTCTGGAACGCGATTGTCGTTGAACTAGCGGAAGGCGGAACCGACGAGAACGCCGATTACCTAGTCTGCTGGAACGCGCCCGCAGGTTCCGAGACAGCCCAGCCCGAAAGCTCGGGCGTCGAGAACGCCGAAGACCGTCGCCGCCGCGAATGGAATGACTCAGATGCCACCCATCGTTTCCCAATCCGCGACTTCGTGCGCCACCGCCTGCATGAGGTTATTGCTGCCTGTGGTGGTGCGCAGCGGTTCCAGGAAGAGTGGCTGGTCAACGTTGATTCGGATGTGGTGTCGGCTTTTGGTGGGTTGGGCCTAATTTGAAAAGAGCATTGATGCGTTGGGAGCTGGGTGATGTTATGTTATGCATTCTGGGAGTTTCATTTTTCTCTTCATTATTCTAGAGTTCATTTTTACATACCCTCTCCAATGCATTTAGATTATCCGTTCATCATGGGCTGGAATTTTACAGCATTGTAACTCGTCTCATAAAATCGTATCATATACTGTGATGTCACCTCGTTCATCTAAGGCGTCGTACCTGGGGGAAACTCGGAAAAGAAAAGCTGGTCATTGCTCCTAGAAAGCAAATCAGCATCGTGTTGCCAAGCATAAAGTAGACACCAGTGCTTGACAGTGTCAATCGCAAAATGACAAACTTACCACATTTGCTCCTCAAAATACACCTCCGGCCCCTCAAACCACCCATTATTACCCGAAAACATCTGAGCGAACGATTCCTGTCCGACTGGATCCGAGAAAGAAGGCATTTCCGGCACCATAGATCCCAGCTCTGCAAGTACCGGACTAGAAAATCCATCCCGTAACCTCTCCAGCGTCTCAAAACAGCGACTGGCAAACGGGCTCAACTCAACCATACTCTTAATAATCGCAATCGCTTTGTCGATATCTTCCTGCCAGCCTTCCGAGTGCGGAGACTGTGGTTCATTGTGCAGGAGAATTACAGGGACCAGGGTTGCCGAGAACAAGAAGTATAATGCATACCAGCAGGCCATGCGTGTGTGGACTGCGTTATTCCAGAACTTGTCGATGCTGATGATAGTTTCGTGGGACTCTTTCAGACATCGCTCGCAGGCTTTGTCGATATATGGCTGGTCTGGCGAGGGTTCCGGGATTGGAATTGAGAATCCGGTGAGTGAGGCTGTTTGTTGCTGGTTTATTTGGAGAGCTTTTTGGATGAAGAATGGTCTGTAGATTATAAGGCGGAAGTGCTTATATCGCCAGGTCATGATGGCGTGGGGAAATTGGTGTCTTTCAGGGACGGTGGCTGTTTCTTTGTAATAATCTGGTACGAGGTTTAACCACTTGTTTATGTAGAAGTCGTCCCATTCAAGGACTTGTTTGGCCGTTGGTGAAGGTTTGGATATAACGCGGTTATATATGTGGTTTGTCAGAAGGTGGAACTGTGACTGGACGCGGACGTTGGTGTAGATAGTTGGGACGTCGAGGTTTTCAGGGACAACCTTTGCAGAGGCTGTCAGTTCGCTCTCTATGATATTGAGAGGTAGTTTTGTGTCGATTCCAGCAGATGGGATTGCTAGAGGGCGACTGAATGTTATAGTCGAGCCTGCGTCGAAGATAAAAAGACACCACCAAGTTCGCCGACGAATTTCACGATATAATAAGTTTCCTTCCACGCTAGGGTGGTCTTTATGAAGACCCAGTCCGTAGGCCATGCGAACCGCGAGTCCGAGGTAATTGTGACTCGAGTTGGGACGATCGCGTTTTTGTAGGTAGTTCGAGATCAAGCATAGACTCTGCACTAATGTCAAGCTGCCGACTTCAAGTATCTCGACAGAGAGATGCGACCGCGCGCATTGATATAGAATAAGGTCGTCGTCGTTAGAAGCCGTGGCGGACATGAAGGCACCGATGGCTGCAACGATGTAGATCAAGATCTTGCTGTGTTTAGGCCGGGGCACAATCTCATGGAACTGAGCCATGAATAATCCTTGGTGAACCAGTGGATAATTTGTATGGTATTCCTTGAAGTAGCTTGTGATATATGATTCGATTTTATGAGAGGGAACTTCGCTGCGGGCTAGCCTTTGTGATGACTCGCTGCTTGGTGTTGATGTCTTCGGTGGCGGTGGGACAGACGAGAAGGGAAACGAGAAGTGGCTTTGAATGAGGCGTAAAAGGGCTGCCCCAGATGCTAGTCCAAGATACCCTGGGCGTTCTTCTTCGATCGAAAGTGCCGCCATGCCGTCGAGGCAGCTCTGTGCTTCCGTGTCTCGTTCATCCCAGTCGTAATCTGCCCCATTCACTATGGGGTTATCTGCAGCGGCTGCCGGAAGGATGTCGGTGGAGAGAGACTCTTCAATGTTGCTGTCGGATATGAGTATTTCAAGACCAGGCTCAAATATCGTAGGCTCAGTTTGGGTGTAATCGAGCGATCTGTTATGGCCTTGGGTAGGTTCCTCCGATGCGACTCGGGGTCTTTTCAAACTTCCCGACGGCGTAGTATCCTCGCTCTTTATATTAGACTGGTCGTGTTCTTGGTTTGCTCCGTTTCTCGCTTTCGCCAGCTCGGCATCCAAATCAACGTCGAGGCCATGGTCGCGAATTATTTGAGTCGCGATGCGGAGGGATTCTTCGACTTCGGTCAAGTATCTGCACTCCGTCAGTTCACAGATCAAAGTGCCTCGGGTTTAAGCTGTAGAGGCAACTTGTACGTACTTGCGCGTCAAGGGACTGCGCGTCGGCCTCTCATATAAGCAATGTCGACGCCATTGGAGGCATTGCGCGCACACAGGTAGTTCGCGTGAGCACTAGAAGCTATTGTCAATTCTTGTCCTGGGGTTGAGAGGGCTTGCACATACCCGGGCCTTTCTCCGACGACACTCTTTACACGCATGCGACTTGACCGTTTCGCTCATTTTCACAGGCCGATGAATCCAAGATTGAGGAGTGGCACCATGAATTCTTTCCCCTCGTGGGGTGCGGGGCGGGACGATCGCAGTTGTTCCGATATCATGACGGGCACGCCACCAATACCGAAAGGGTAGATCATGCGAAGTGGAGACAATGAGGAAGGCAAATTTGCCGAAACGCGGACCTACTTTCTAATCCGACTCGTATTTGGGTGGATTTTCCCGCGGTGGCTGTAATGTGGTTCGGGAGGAAATCCGAGTCCACGGGTGAGGCTGGTCTTACGAGTATCTCTTGAAGACTATCAATCTAAATCTATCGGAGATATGGGACCAGGGATGCAAATGTTCAGGAATGTTTGTATTCCCTTTCCCAGCCCCTGGATACTCGGTAGGATATTGAACATACTTCAGTCTGATTCTCTGAACTGCAGTGGCCGAGTACGGTTTACCAGAGTCGAATAGTTGTTAGCCTTCAAAACTAGCTTCTTGTTTTTGGTGAAACAAGCAACCTGAAGATATCGTTCAAATGTTCATATTCATGATCAACTGCATGTCCGCAGAGTCTAGTTCTGCTAAATGCTAATGGATAGCTTTCCATTCCGCTAGCAAAAAGACGAGAAAGTCGGGTCATGTAGAAGCGAAGAGCTTTATATTCTCAAATGATTTAAAACACATAGATCATTCCCTTTGACGGGAATCTGTCGCCCTGTAGGCTTCTTCAAAGCAAGGCCAAACACCCATGGGGAAGTGGGGTGCCGAGTTGTAAACCCGACATGGCGAATGACCGTCCTCGCCGAGGTTATGCAGATCGGGGTTCTGTCGCCCTAGTTTGCGGGTGATGTGATGGTATGATTCGGTATTTATGAATCCTTGTTTTGAGTCGATTCTTCCCAGAGGAGAGTACTTCCTAAGTGGATCTGGGGAACAAAATCCGGGGTTGACCCAGTCATCGATCATCGAAGGCCTTCCGTGCCCAATTCCTTAAAAGGCACCATATCCCCGGCCCTGAGTTTCAAGATCTGCGCGGATCTGACCAAATAATCAAATCACCACCAGTACGCCAGAAACTTGACTCGCGAAAATAATTTACCATTTATACACAGGAAGCAATGCCAGGAGTTGTCACTGATTCAGCGATGGCTGGTGACCATGCTATAGAATATGGACCAGCCGGATACAAGGGATTTCTCAAAGAAATCCGAATCTTTGGCCTGGCATGTTTTGCCACGATTGGAGGCTTTCTCTTCGGCTACGACCAAGGAATTATTTCTGGCGTGCTGGTCATGCATAGCTTTGTGAGTTGCGGTTAATAAGATATACGCACTCGCTCTAATATACTCTAGAAAACCCATTTCCCCAATCTTTCCTCCGACGCCGGTCTCGAAGGATGGGTCGTTTCGATTATGACACTCGGTGCTATGGTCGGCGCGTTCATCAATGGGCCCATATCGGACCGCTTCTCTAGACGTTGGTCAATCTTGATCGCAAATATAATCTTTCTGATCGGTTCGGCGATACAGGCGGCTGCAGAAAATGTCGCCATGCTCTTCGTTGGCCGTTTAATCTTCGGCGTGGGTGTTGGTATGTTGGCAATGGTTTGTCCGCTTTACCTTTCTGAGCTTGCGCCTCCAAATATTCGAGGATCTCTCGTGGCGTTGCAGCAGCTATCTATCACATTTGGTATCATGACCAGTTTCTGGATCAATTATGGTACTCAGTATATCGGGGGCACGGGTGTCGGCCAAAGTCAGGCTGCCTGGAGACTTCCACTTGCGCTACAGTGCTTTCCATCTATCATTCTTGCGACCGGCACATTTTTCTTGCCATATAGTCCACGATGGCTGATGAATCAGGGTATTATTTATTGCGAAACATGAATTATAAGATACTAATCTCTCTCTAGGCCGTGAAGATGAAGCGCTACATACCTTAGTAAAGCTGCGACGAGTCCCCGAGACAGACCATCGTTTACAAACAGAGTTCCTCGAGATCAAAGCAGCTCGCATGTTTGACCAACAAACTAAAGACGAGAAGTTTGGCAAAGACTCATCCCGATTTCTTGTTGCGCTGCAAGAATACAAGGAACTCTTCGTCGCACCTCATCTGAGAAGGAGAACTATGGTTGCATGTCTTCTACAAGTGATTCAGCAATTTACGGGCATCAGTATGTTGCTATATTGGAAGACGAAAGACAATGAACATGCTAATAATGTTACCGAATTGACAGATGCGATCATTTACTACGCGCCTCAATTCTTTGAAGCAATCGGACTCAGCGGAAACTCAGTCAACCTTTTAGCCACAGGAGTTGTGGGTATTGTCTTCTTTCTTTCTACCATTCCCGCGGTCATGTACCTGGACAGATGGGGCCGAAGGAAGACATTGATGTACGGTGCCACTGGAATGTCTATCGCGCAACTAATTGTAGCTACTTTGTACGCCGTGTACAAAGACACCTTTAGCTCGCATCCTTCCGCAGGTTGGACGGCCTGTGTATTTGTGTGGGTGTATATTGGCACATTCGCCTTCTCCATTGCCTGTGTTAATTGGATCATGCCTTCTGAAATGTTCCCACCTGCGATCCGAGGTAAGGCTGTTGGACTTGCGATCGCTTTTAACTACCTTTCCAATTTTGTCGTTGCATTGATCACTCCACGCATGCTTGAAAGCATTACATTTGGCACATTCTACTTCTTCTTGGTTTTCTGCCTTGTACTGGGAATTTGGACGTACTTCTGTGTTCCTGAGACAAAGGGTAAGTCCTTGCCATTCATGAATATCGCAAGATACTAATGATTAGCAGGGGTACCGATCGAAGAAATGGACAAACTATTTGGCGGTAATGACGGCGAGGGGGATTTGCGGAGGATTGCCGAAATCCGTGAACAGCTTGGAATGGGAGGTAGTGCGGGACTCAAGAGTAACCTGCTTCGGAAAGAGAAAAGCAGCGAGCATATTGAAAATTCTGTTTGAACCGACGGATAAGAAAAACAGGGCTAGTTGGCTAAAGGTAGTTTCTTGTGGTCTCTCCGAGACCCTGAATGTCCGCGTACGCTATACATGAGGTGCGATTCGCGAATCTATCAAATGGAACCCATTCAAGACTACGGCAGCGAGTAGGAAAGTATCAGTTGAGAAAACTGGTAAATAGGTCGAATTGAAGCCTATTTAATGATAAAGCATTGCGCCTGGCGACTCAAAAAACGCCAAACTCCATATAGCCCTTCCACAGGAAGGGAAACTCCAAAAAGGGAAACTCCAGAGGACAATTTAAAGGGATGAAAAGAAAAGCCAGTGTAAAAAATGAAAATGGGTTCAACGCAGATCGAATCTCGCCGATCAGCATTGGCCAGGGAACTGGCGGTCGACAACGGGGTTAGGGAAGATACCACCAGCAATCTGCATCTGCATATCCCACTCGGGTGCACCCTCAGTCTTCCAGGTCCAGTATAGCCAGCCGCTTCCCTTCTCATAGGCATCCAACTGACCCTCGATGAAGCGACGGATGTTGTCTCGCTCCTCGCCAGAGAGGGTGTCGACAGTGCCGACAGACTTTCCATCACAGCTACCAATGGAGCTGCTACCGGAGTAAGTTCCATCATAGCGAGCACCGATGCCCTTGCCGTTGAGGTATTTGGCACAGTCGGTCATGGCACCAGTCCATTCACCAACAATGGTCCACTTGTCACAAGTCTCAACGTGGTCGCTGACAAAGTTGCAAGCAGTTCGGACGTGGTCACTGGCATTTAAAGCAAGCAGTCCGCTGTCGAAAACTTCGTAGTGATGGGTATCCATCATGACATAGTTGGCGCCGGTGGCGACGTTCAGGAAACCATTCCACGACTCGGTGGGCATGAATCCATCGTGGAGAACAACGGTGGTATCTTGGCTAGACTCGCGAGCAACGCCCCAGGCGTCGTAGTAATATTGCTTGAGGCCATCTTCGTTGATGCCTCCAGGGACATTGGGCTCGTTCAAAGCTTCGATGGCAGTGACAACGTCGACATCACCAGCATAGCGCTTCGCCAGCTCCCGAAGAGCATTCTTGGCTTGCTCCGCGGTATCGCCCTGTTGCCACTGGATAGCACCACGCTTTCCACTGTTGTCGAACCCATTCTGGGATCCGGGAGCTAGTACAGTTCCGTCAGCCATAATCGTTGGATAAATTAAACACTAGTATGTACTTACCACCGTGCAGGTCGACAATAACCTTGAGGCCGGCACCTCGGGCCCAACCCACTGCAGCGTCCAAGTACTCCAGTTGACCATCAACGTACGGGTCACCCTCGATAGGAGTCAATGCCCAGTATCCAACGGGAATTCGGACATGGTTCATGCCGGTAGCAGCAATCTGGTTGAAGTCATCGGCAGTCACAAAGGAGGCCCAGTGCTGAGAAAGCACAGCTCGACATTGATCCGCACCGAGGGTCGCGCACAAAGACCACTCATCAACGGCGGCGTCGCCAGCATTATCGAAGATGGAAGGGGTGATCCAAGGCTCCAGTACCAGCCAGCCTCCGAGGTTGACGCCACGAACCTTGTCATTCCCGTAGGCAAATCCGGGATCGGCACTGCATCAAGTTAGTTTCCAGAGTGCATGATCTCCCAAGGACTTTCATTTTGCGTTGCCTTTGGAGTATTTCAAGGCTAAGGCTATTTCAGACTCACACTGCAGGAACCGCCAGGCCAAGTGCTGCCAGGGACAGCCCCAAAAGGCTCTTCTTTTGCGAGAATCTGGACGACATACTGACGATATCTCTAACACTAACAGTTCAGCCCGGAAATTAGGTGGCTGGGTTTCTGGAATGAAGTGATAGAATGATTGTGTCGAATGGCATGGAGATCGACCGGTATAAGTAAACTCTATCTCCATACTGAGGGTTAGATTTGGCCGCATGCAAATGAAATGGCAGCTCAGTGCCTGGGAACGGAAGCGACGAAGCTGCTCAGGAATGATAGATCACACACCTTTGGCAACCAATGTGTAGATCTTATCTTCACAAAGGCCACGCGTACCTGACAACTCCCGGGAAAGGAAAGCACTCGACCGCAAACAGACAAGAGTGGGTCCTGGTACTCCGGGTATGGGGTCGATGAATGGAACAATGCCTTTCTGAATGGTGAAAGAGTGTTTGGTCGAGTGACTACTTAAAAGAGTGGACACAGTTGGTGGGCGGTCGCTCTGTGAAAGTATTGTATTTCGCATAGGTGAGTTTGTAGTGAAGGTAGAGTCGCAGCGGCACGGGGGGCAAAAGAGGGTCAGGATTCGAGCAGCCAAAGGAGGATCTACGAATTGAAATGAGAATTGACGGGAAAAAACAGAAAGTTTAGTCGCGTGATGAGCCTCTCGTACGAGTAAATCCGCGCGTGCGATGCGACGAGGAAAGCGCAACTGACTTGGCCAACTTGAAGTTGAAGTTAGGGTTACTTCTCCCTCTGTTATACTAGTAAGTAGACTCCATCTCGAGTATCACATTTGGCCAAGAACCTATGCTTAGAATTGTGCTTTCAATTTTCCCCTTGTACAAATAATTGATTTTGTATTTAGTATGCGATAATGACAATGTGAGGCGGCGGAGACAGAGTTGCCGTTTGCGGCCACAGAGCAAGGCGCGGGCCAAGCAAGGAGATCAGCACGCGTGGTGTTTCTCCGAGGAATGCTAGAGAGTGAGATCGATCGCGATCTCGATTCCCGAAATATTTTGGCCAGAGGAAAATATCAGTGACAACGGTAAAGTCAATATCTAATCCTCGCTGGATTTCAAGCGGATTTCATTGTGCTCTGAACGAATTGTTGGTGTGCGACTGGGATAAACACCGAAAACATAGATAAACAAAAACACCCACTTGAATGTTTGAAATTTTCCTTTTTAATACTATTGCGTCCCAGGTGACCGACCATTTCACACCTGTCAGAGCCATGTTTTTCTCGGGTGTTCCCGACTGGCCATGGTTTTAGCAGTGCGCTCCGTTTTCGGCAACATATAGCTTTTTACACCGACTGAGCCTCAACGACGGCCCATTGGCCATTATTTTGCGTCACATGGATTACTTCGATTGAGATTTCAATTTTTTCAAGCGTTGGGTTGGATCTTGAAAATCAGATCGGCTCTCTCTGTCTCTCAGTAAATCCCCACAAAGTGCCAGAATCGGGACTTCGAAGTGTAGGAGTGGCCACAACTTTTTGTAACCTACGACATTGACTGGAATGTTGACTGGAATGTGAGGTCCATTACATCCCAGTTCTATTGGTTCCACCTGAGCACCGTTCCGGTATGGCAGGCCGAGTGCCTGAATATGGTGATGCGATCTATACTAGAGCTCCTATAAGCCAATGTGCATGAAGAGCCGTGGTCTTGGGTATACGGTTCATTTTATTCACTCTTTGTGCCGAAATCAGAAAATCTAAGTCTCGCTACTGGCTGGTAAACTGTATATTTGGTACCCACCATGGAAATATTTGGGCAAATAGCCTCTGACTAGGTCTTTGCCTAATAAAATAGAATCTGAAAAACTGTTCACACATTTTGGTACCGCTTTATCATTCCGACTTCTACCTTAAGCCCGAAAATCGTGAGCAAAAATATAGCCCTTGCAAGCTGTGATTTCAAACCATTAACTAGTAGCGGTGCCCGAAGTCTCGGTCATAGCATCATGATTCCTAATCGGCGGTTCAAAATATTCGGCCGAATGCTCGGTGGAAGGATGTATAAAAGTACTACATGCTCGCAACAACTCCAATACTTAGAATATCGCATTCAGACGTGAAAAATTAGCCGAGAATACGCTTCAAACATTCTACAACTTTTTTAAATCAAAATGGTCAAGATCGCCATCGCTGGAGGATCCAGCAGTGAGCATTACTCCTTTACACCGCGAGTAGTATTGGGCTAACGTATAGACAGCTGTCGCCAACGAGATTATTGACGCTCTGGTCGCTACTCAGCGACACGAACTTGTCATTTTTTCTAGAAAGGTTCGTAATACACCCATACGCCTCTGGGCAGCTAGATTGATCATTGACATGATGGTACAGGATATACCGACCGAGAAGACGGCCCCGGGAATAACCTGGAAAATCACAACCTATCAAGATAAAGACCAATTGGTCGAGGCCCTCCACGGAGTGCACACGGTCCTTTCTTTCCTTGTGACGCAGGAGGACCCAGCGAGCATCGCTCAGAAGAATCTCATCGACGCTGCAATCCAAGCAGGTGTTAAGCGATTTGCCCCTAGCGAGTGGGCCTGGTACATTTCTCCTTTTCTGGCTATCTTTTCAAGTATTGACAGTCTATAGTGCCGGATTGGAGCACATAAGCTGGTACACGTACAAAGGGGAAATTCGCCGATACCTCGAAGCGCTGAATAAGGACAAAAAGGCAAGAGCTAACTTAATTTTCGAGATTGGAAGTTTCTAACTATCGGTTCTTTCAACAGGTCCTTGAATACACGCTATTTCAGCCGGGCACGTTTGTGAACTACTTAACACATCCTTACCAGTCCGCTAAACACCTTCATTCGATGGAGCTCTTCTTCGACTTTGAAAATCGACGTGCTATCTTCATAGACGACGGCGACAATGACCGGATGTCCTTCATTACAGTGGAAGACTTCACTAAGGTAATTGTCCAGGCTGTTGAATTTGACGGCGAGTGGCCTGTCATCGGTGGCATTCGAGGTACCGACATCTCTATTGGAAACTTGATTGCGCTAGGCGAAAAAGTTCGCGGTATGTTTTTACTCCCAACAAGAGTTATTTCAAACAGCTAATAGGTATATCCCACATTAGGTGGCTCGAAATTCCAAGTGGAAAAAGTGAAGGCGCAAGACCTTCAGGACGGAACGTGGAGTACCTCTTGGGTCCCGAGGATCGATCATCCTTCAATTCCCCAAGAGCAAATCGACGTGTTCTCTAGAATCGTCTGTGCCGGAATATTACTAGCCACCCACGATGGTGCCTACTCTGTTTCCGACGAGTGGAATCGCTTGCTACCAAGCTTTCAGCCAGCCCCTATTGAGGAATTTCTGGCGAAGTCGTGGCACGGTAAGCCTTGAAGAATGCTGACACGGTCAAATGAGGTTTCTGCATATTCTTCAGATTAGTTGAATCAGATGACAATTAAAATACATCATGATCTTGTCTACAGCCCCTAATCTTCAAAGAATAGCTCGACTTACATCTAAATATACGGCAACGGACCCAGTTACAGCGCTCCATAGGCGTAGGGTGGTCAGTCTAGGTAGTTGTATAGTATACGAGGCACGCAAAACCTATGTCTCTTCTGGTGACTCTTCCCCCCGAATACTGCCCAGTCTAATTCCTAGACTATCCAGGGGCTACTGATGAGATATACTCTTTTCTTCCTCTGACCTCGGGAGTCTTAACCTTGCTGTTTTCCCCCTATTTGAGTGTCGTATCTATATCCCGAGGTCGACTTATTCGTCCGCCGAGGCTCGGGCGAAGCGCCCCCGCTGTACCCTTCGACCGAGATCGCGCAATCGCATCAGCTCCGTCCCCATCACCCTTTCAACCCAGCGACAGACACCTTTAGGCCCCAAAACATTCCCCATTTTGAACGGGCTATTTCACTCTTATCAATAAAAACATGCTTGGCGAAGAAGATGCTCATGCTAGCAAACGGAGGAAGGTCCGCAAAGGTACCCAGAGCTGCTGGGAGTGCAAGAGACGAAAGGTCCGCTGCATCACATCGCATGAGAGCTTCACCTGCGACAACTGCAGAAGGCGAAAAACTTCATGCATCGCCCAAGATCTCCCTGATCGGCCTGTGCCTCCGGCTTGCGATACTCAAGTAGAAGATCGGCTCAGCCGAGTGGAGAGTCTCATCGAGCAGTTGATCGATAAATCCGATACAAGTCATCCCCCCACAGCCGAGGACATCAACAACCTTCAAGCGAATGCACCTTCATCGAAAGATAGCAATCATGTGAGTTGTACTCTTTATGGCGTTATCTAAAACCCTAACCTTTTTCAAGCGCAACCACCCTCCTCAATCACATACTCGCCAACTATTATCCAGTAAAACGCCCTTTGCGACTGACCACACGGCATTAATCGACGATTTAATCGCTGTGTGGCCTAGTCGGGATAATATTGAAGCTATCTGTACTCTCCCTGTTGGGTTTTCGATGCACTTGCAATGCTGTGTTTGTGCGTCTTACACAATGCCAAACAGAAATCCTCCTTCACCACTGGATATTCTCCAGCTCCCCCCATCAAAATCCCACCCAGTGCTTTTTGCCCGAAAGCTTCTCATGCTAGGTGCGCTCTTACAAGCTATTGTTCCTTCTTCCCATCAACAATTGGACAGTCGCGGTATCTCATGCGCAGGGCTATTGTCCCGTGTCATTGAAAGAGCCACCAGACTCGTGACCACCAATGATGAACTTGTTCGCTCTATTGAGGGTCTAGAGTGCATTATGATTGAGGCGCAGCTTCACAACTACTCTGGAAATCTCCACCGCGCCTGGCTAGCGACACACCGGGCAGTTTCCGTTGCCCAGATTATGGGACTGCACCGCGGCCTCAACTCACCGTCTCTAAAGTTCCATGAGCCTGAGACTCGAGCGAATTTCGACCCGAAACATATCTTGTTTCGCATTATTGAGATGGATCTCTATCTTTCATTAATGTTAGGACTACCCAACAGTTCACTTCAAGCTCCCCTGGCTACACCGAAGGCGTTGGAGGGGTGTCTTCCTATCGAGCGGATTCAGCGTACTCACTATGAAGTCTCTCGGCGGATAATCCAACGCAGCAATGCGGAAATAAACAGTGTCGAGGAGACTAGTGAGATTGATCGGATCTTACAGAACACAGCTGCCGAGATGTCGCCTCAGTGGTGGCTGATGCCATCATTTGCGGTAGGGAATTCTGATAAAAAGGAGCTCTTCGATGATACAATTCGCCTTATGGTACAGTTCTCTCATTATCACCTAATAATAAGGCTACATCTGCCTTATTTGGTACGCTCCCTGGCGGATCACAAATACGATCGCAACATGATTACAGCCGTCAATGCAAGTCGTGAGATCTTATCCCGCTACATAGCCTTCCGTTCTTCAAACCCAGTCAATTTCTATTGCCGCGGAAGCGACTTTCTAGCATTTGTTTCCATTGTTGTCATATGCTTTGCCCAAATTGGCTCACATAGCCAAAATGATCGGGCCATCCAAGCCGAGAGAATGAGCTTCACTATTCTTGCACACAGTCGTCTCAGCGACCGAGGGATAATGGAGCGTACCCTCGCAATTCTCCTATCAATCAGCAATGGTGAGCGAGACTCAATTGTCTCGAAGCTCAGTCACTTGATCAGACATCTACTTGCAGTTGAGTCAGACGCGGCAAACGGAAAGCTATATAGCATGAGCACATCCGCCAGCGATGAAGGAGACGATGAATCGACCGTGAAGTCAAACAGCAACGGCAGAGTCTTGCGCATCCATATTCCATATTTCGGGACAATCAATTTCGAGCCCGGGGCTGGCTCAAGTTCTGTCTCGAGAACACCTATGCAATCTGAATTACACACTTCCACTTGGGTTTCAGACGTTCTGCTTGCTGATCAGCTAGCGGATAGCATTTATGGACCATGCAGTAGTGATGTTTGTCCCTTAACCCCCAATACACACTTATCACAGATACAGAAGAGTCAACAGTCCTTGAATAGCCCGGAAGTGGCTTTGAGTGAATCACAAGGACCTAATTTTAACAACACCAGTCCTGTCCGAGAGCAAGCTCCGATGACTTCCCCTTCTCTGGATACGAGTACATATTATGACTGGGACCTACAGGGTATTGATCTAGCCCTTTTTGATAGCCTCTTCGGCAACGTGGATATCCCGAATGTTGATAATGGGGAAATTCCGACCTTGGCAGGAAATTAATCACCCGAGCTACCGCCTGAATGAACTGGATAACTTCACTAGTTCATAATGGTCGAATTAAAATTCTCTTGATCTATCCCACTCGAATCAGCACTTTCGCAAATAGTTTTCAAGATCTTGAATTCTCCCGAGACTCGTGGCGTATTTTGCCGAGCGGATATATTGGTGTTCAATGCGTAGACTTCGGTAGAGGCATTTTCGAGCGTCACCGGCAGTTGATGCCGCGGTGGTCCGGCCCAAATAGGGCCATGCTGAAGTCCAATAGTTCTCGTATACTATCGTATTCGGCCACTCTACCCGGTGTGTCCCCTGTCACCAGGGGCATTCGGGACCTGGCGGGAGCTCTGACATACGGCGTTCTTGCCGGAAGCTTTGCCATACTTCTAGATGCCGGTGTTTAGAGTAGCGCGGCCGCTAGTCCATTCGCTTACAGGGGCGGTCACCCCTGACTGGTTTACTTACAACCGCTAGCCCCGCTGGGCGTTATTCTTCAGCACGTGGGGAGATCTAAGAAGATGATTGCAAGTATACTCTTCATCATCTCTTCGGAACTGCACTCATCCGTTTTCCGTCGGAAATTGCCAATTCGTAAGCGATCAAGTGATTTTTTGATCAAGGGAAGATGGTATTTGGACGAGAATTTCTCGATACTTTTATAAGCGAGATGTTTCCAGGGAGTAGAAGAAGAAAATATCAGCATATGAAACGAGGCTTACGTTACAGAGTAATCCATGATGACTACAAATAAGCTACAAGCCTTGATACTTTCAGTGGCGCTAGCTACCACTGCGAGTGCTAAGACGAAGCAGCCAGGCGCGACTAGCACGCAGCCAGACTGGTTCCAAACGTCGCCCAACAGTTATGCCGGTCAGTCCTTCCTGGGATACTACAGCTAAAATAATATATGCTTAAGATCAAATAGGAACCACGGCAACTGGATCTGCCCCTTTTCTAGCAGAAACCAATCCCGCGCCGTTCGGACAGTCAACTTTCATCCCAAATGCTCCATTGGAAACCTCGGAGCCAATCGAGGGAGCCCATGGGCGAAATATCTTTCAACTCATGGGAGATCAAAGGTTCGAGCTCTCTTGGGACCTTCTCATTATTCTGACAGCTAATTGGTCTTGTGAAGCCCTTATTTTTCCCCAGCTGAAGGCTTCGGTGTTGACGAGTATCCACTCCCCAAGGGAGCCCAAATTACTCAAATGCACATGCTTCAGCGCCATGGCTCAAGATACCCTTCCTCTTCGGAAGGTCTAGATTCATGGGCGGCGGGAATTGTCAACGCAAGTAATCAATTTACAGGCAAGCTCAATTTCTTAAACGACTGGTCTTACAAACTGGGCAAAGAAATACTCGTTCCGAAAGGGCGACAGGAGCTCTTTGATAGTGGAATCTTGAACTACTATAACTACGGTCATCTCTACGATAACTCGTCAAAGCTTGTGATCCGTACAACTTTGCAGTCACGTATGCTTGAAAGCGCAGAGAACTTCCTTGCTGGTTTCTTCGGTCTTGAGTGGAGAAACCATGCCAACATCCTAGCTACAATTGATTCTGCAACTACGGGTGAATATGCATGCACCAAAGCAGGCGAGACCATGGAGGCTTCGGTCGCAACGCCCGTTGGTACCTGGATGGCGACATATTTGAAAGAGCGAACAGCTGAGCTGAAGAAGTTGACTGGCAACTATGACTGGACAATCACGGACACCTATCATGCTCAAAGTCTATGCCCCTATGAAACGATCAGCGTTGGCTACAGCGACTTTTGCGATATTTTCACCTATGAAGACTGGGAGGGATATGAATACTTGATGGATATCGAGTTTGCCGCCATCTCCGGCTTTTTAAGCCCTACAGGCCGGGCACAGGGACTTTATTGGGTCGAAGAGTTCCTCGCTCGAGTCGAGGGCCATATCTTAAATGTGCCTGCCAACACCACAGGGGCTAATATCACTCTGGACACCAATCCGGTGACGTTCCCTTTAAACCAGTCGCTGTACTTGGAGTTCACGCATGATGCGAATATCGTATCTGTGCTAACTGCATTTGGCTTCACCCAATTTGCCGACTTTTTGCCTCTTACTGGTCCTCCCAAGAACCAGCAATTCTCTGCAAGCAGGCTGGTCCCATTTGCCGGTCGCTTCAATATCGAAATTATCAAGTCACCGCACAAGGTCTCTCCAACACGTTCTTCAAAATCTTCAGCTAAGGATTATATTTCTGGCACCGGAGAAACTCATTACGTGCATTTCATTCAGAACCAGAGAACCGTTCCACTGCATGACAGCTTTGGGGCCTGCGGGAAACGAGATGATGGCTGGTGCGAACTCTCGACATTCTTAAAAGTACAAAAGGAGAGCCTGGCCAAGGCTGAGTATCAATATGCATGCTTCGGAAACTGGACCATGAAAGACTACGGTGCAGTCAGAAACGGCGTTCCTGCATGAAGATGAGTTTTTTTTTCAGGTCATTTGGCACTCTACTCGAACTTCATGCACTTTTTCTTCAAAGGTTCTTTGTACAAGCAGAAGCAACCTCATGTTCAAGTTCGAGTTTTTTCGGTTTTATAGATCGGGTCGAATGCATCACTGGCATACACTAACAGTGGTCACGCGACACTGGCATGTTTGACTTTCTCTCTACATACTAGCAAACTATAAAGCGTGCATTCTCAACGAGTCATGTAGCCTGGCTCTGGAAGCTGGACTTCACGACCCCTGAAAACCCCCAATAACTCCGAGTCCATCGGCCTAAAAAGTATCGACTTCCCCGCACCCGCAATTTCCCATGACGATCATACCTCTACATACTGTACATCGCCATCCGCTCCGAGCAACTTTCGGTTTCGAATCATCCCCGGAGTGGGGCTTATCGCCCGTGGGGAAATCAATTCAAGTCACGACCATAAAACTCCGGACTTGAACCGGAAGTAAAATCTGACAGTAAGCAGTCCTCATCGGCGGAATTGTGGACCAAGAACTGTTTCTTCCAATGGGACAGAAGAGATCGGCATGCCAAGTGGAGGGCTGAGAGGAGGGGAAGGCCACCGGACCTTAGTTCTCTTATTTTTTGGGATTCGATTCAACTTGGGCACGGCCTGGATGGAACGTCGAGGTGCGACTTTGTCTCGATTTTGCCGACCAAGATCCCTTTGTCTGTCTTTGTCTGACTTTTGATCGAGGCGGGGGTAATCTGAAGTGTCGCCAGCCTCAGTAACGCAAATGCGGAGCGACCCGTGCGGATGTAAGGGGTGCGGTATCTACAAACAAAGAGCAACTAGTCAAGTTTCTCGTGCAAAGGAGACCATCCAGGGAACTGAAATGAATCAGGATTATCTTGGCGGACTCAGGCAGTTTCCTTGAGACTGCTCTTCTGCCCAGGATTTCTGGGATCGAGATAGACGAATCTGACTCCGTATGTACAGAGCACATCATCATGCCTATCCCAAACCCTGATTCTCCACCTGACTGCGTGCGCAAGGAATTCAGGACTCTCCAGACTCGACAATAAGGGGTTCTATTGGCCATCAGCATGGACTCCCCTGCACTCATCATGCGATCTCATTTGATGCTCCCTGGATCCGAAATCTGGCCGGGATGTCAATAGAGTTACGGCCGCCCATCCCTATGTGCAGTACTCCTGATAATATCTCCCATCCAAAGATCATTGGCACTCAATCTAGTAACAACATGCTAGATTCAAAAAGAAATGCAGGAACACTCCACATAGCACACGCGTTGACTATCAGTCATGTCTACATTGCAAGTTGCATTTCGACAAGTATGCTGTTTAGCCACAGGGCCTCGGCGCCAACTCGGTCTCTACTCCGCCAAGCAGCGGGGCGCTCTGTGCCTTTCTCCATGATAAAATGGAAATTCAAGACCAGCGTCCTTGTGATGGAGCTCCTTGTGCGTCCTTCCTGCGGGGTTGACTCGTGCCAGTGGAGACATGCCACCGCGAGGCAGAGCAGTGGGTATCTGAAGGCTGGTCAAAGCATTGTCCCACGCAGTCCTAGGGGCTCTAGGGTGTCTAGCTTCCGCTTCTTCCTTGTTACTTCCTTGCGGAAATGGAGCGGTGGCTCGGTTATTTCTATTCTGTTTGTCCGTGATGTGTTTAAATAGACCTGGGGTTTCCCTTCGATAGTTCTTAGATCGTTCTTCTCCACGCGAGGCTTGACATCATTTGGAACCAGTACTAGAAGATGTATTTGCTTCAGGGTGTTGTGCTTTCGCTCCTGGCTGCCACAAGTGCAGCCAGTCCTGTGCAAGACGTTTTTCCTAGACAGTCTGGTGCTGGTTACTCGCTCAAGCAGCCACCGCTAACGACACCATGGACGGATAAAGTTGGGACTGATCCTTGGCCCGAGTATCCTCGACCACAACTGCAAAGGCCTCACTGGCAGAATCTCAATGGTGTTTGGGGCTACCAAAACGCGTCAGGTCTAAATGCTGTTCAGAGTCCTCCTTTCGGCCAGCAGCTTGGTCAGGAAGTTTTGGTCCCATCTTGCCTGGAAAGTGGTCTTTCTGGTAAATTCCTTTGTTTTGATAATACATGACTTTAAAGTAACAATGTCCTATGCAGGCATTCAGGGATCATATACTCTGTATTCATGGTTCTCCAATTCATTCAAGGTTCCTTCGGACTGGAAGAATCAGAAGGTGCTTTTGAATTTCGATGCTGTTGACTATGAAGCCACTGTTTTTGTCAATGGAAAGAAGGCTGGTTTCCACCGGGGAGGCTACTTCCGCTTCACTGTTGACGTGACACAATATGTCAAAATTGGCCAGGAGAACGAACTGTAAGTTTCTCGACGGATATAACCTCAGGATTGAACTGGAACCTGATTAGCACCATCTCAGGCTCGTCTTTGTCCATGACCCAACAGATGATGGTGACTTCGTCATCCCCATCGGCAAGCAAACGCTCCACCCTAGCCACATCTTCTACACACCCTGTAGTGGAATTTGGCAATCTGCCTGGTTGGAGGCTGCGCC